CCGAAACTACGACCGAAACCGAAACTGCATTCGGGAGTTCTCGCGCTGTGATCGGTCCTGTTTGGCGCGTTGAATTTCATACAAGCGACGAAGACGAAGATATTTTACGGGTCCACGTGCCTAGGTAATCATGTCCTGACTCGTGACTTACTTTGTGATATACTGAAACAGCTACTTTCACATGAAAACATTTTTTTTCGAAACAAATACTTTTACATGAACACTGAATTATACAGAAGACATTCTTCTCTACTCAGTTTGTATTCCAAACATTCGTTATGGAATAAAATCAGGTATCATTCACAGGAGTTCTACACTAAATGAATGGTGAAACATTGCACTTACATGGAAGACTGTCATCCTCACTGGTAGACATCGATGTTTCGCCGTAAGACACTTGCCTTAGGGCTCTTCAATACCAATCTGGATAACATTATACAAAAAAATACACAATTCTTTCATAAATTACGATTTTTATGTCACGGAATAAGTTTCATCTACTTATGTCATCGATGACATCGATGAAAGTAGATGCTTCAATAGGGCTTTTTTTCTTCCAGTTTGTGTCTGAAAGTTATTTCTTTGCATGATCTACACATCCATGTATAGAGTTACTCATTTCAAAATTGAATACTTCTTTCCTTTCTTCAGAAGATTCCCACATTTTTTGAATCAAGATGGAGTAGTAGAAAGCCAAAAACTTTCTTCCCCAAAAATTAGTCGTTCTTAAAAATATAACCCTTTCTATTTAATTAAATACCTATTGTGTTATTAGGTACAAACTTAAATAAGTAATTTTATGTTTAATGTTTCTGGAAAACCATTAATAATATTCAAAAGAAGAATCTACACCTACTCAAATAAACACCTCGCCTATTTTGAGTATTTTTAAGGTGCAATTGATATTTTTTCTTAAATAAGGGGTTGTTATGTTGATTTGTTGATTATCAATAAGTGAAAATGTCGAACACTACATAACGTTGTGATTTAAAGATAAAAAAATAAAGACTGACTGATTATAATAATAACGTTTTCTTTATTTTTCCCTCAAAATATAATCCTTGTAAGGAAGTTTCGGTTTCGGCCGAAAATGAAAATGAATGAACAACCGCCCATTAGCCCGGCACGGGACAGCCAAGAGCGTCCGCCGCCGGAAAGGATTCCAGATCTGCGATCTTGACCGGCAAATAACGGAACGTGCTGTGACGGACTGGCCAAGTGAGGGCGTCGCCGGCCAGCGCTTGTCAGCATCAACTTGTCCAAAAGTACCTGGGAAGTTTCTGTCTTTCTCTTTTGCTTTTCCATCAGTTGACAGCACAGTGTCGACGGTGCCTATGAAAATGAACGAGAAAAATTGATTTGCTTGTTAAGGCAGACTCTGGAATATCCAGAAGTTCTGAAATCATTCGGAAATACTGATTGTAGCTGAACCTTCAGTTTGCTAGTTGTAGCTGGACAAGTAAGCGATGCTACTTCCCATGTACATCAGACGGCGGACAGCGCCGTGCTGTTCTGTGCCTCAGACACGTAGGCGACAAGCTTTAGTATGCTGGTTGTAGATGGACAAGTGGGCGACAAGCTTTTTGATTTTTTGTTTGTTGCTTATCAAAAGATGTTCATAGAAAATAAAGGCTGCTTTCATTAGCGTTGCTACAGCAAAATTAACATGGGCATGTTCTTAGACTGTTGAAAATACAGTTCTGCTAGTGCTATAGTCCAATGGCCTGAGGTTAGTGTTTTTGTTCCTTTGAATGATTAAGGTCTACTACTAATGGTTAGGGTACCCCGGGGAAAAATTGTGTAAAATAAGTGCCTAAGCATCTTCCTAGAACTGCTTAAGTACTGGAAATCGATTAAGCTTAAATGATTGAGCAGCTCACCTTAGTGACGAATGTTAGAGGTCGGCAACATACATATAACATGAATATAATCTATAGCGATTATCTTATCCAGTAGCTTGGTCTTAATCCGAGATAGCACGGTTGAATATAAATCGCTTTCCCACTTTTTGTGAAGGCAATTTGTCAACACAATCCACATAATGTAATAACTATCAATGTGATTCAATATAAATTTGTGAATACCGCCCATGATGATTCCCGTCGTTTTATTGTTTAGTGCATTTACATTAAGTAGCGCAAAAGTCCTAAATGTTACCGCTGACTTGCCTACTAACTATGAATATTATGAAGCCGGAGGTGTTGAAAGTGGTCTCACAGATAACAAGCCGAATTTTTATTTGAACGGAAAAGAAATCTTCATTTACAGTGGAGCATTTCATTATTTCCGAGTCCATAAAACGTATTGGAGAGATAGACTTAGGAAGATGAGAGCAGCAGGACTGAACACAGTTGAAACTTATATTCCTTGGAATCTACATGAACCTAGATCAGGTGAGTACCGTATGAAAATCATTCCTTGTTGATATATGAAGATACCATAAACTTATAATCGCTCATTTACAGTTTAAACATAATTACCCTTGCCAATTGTTGAGTTTTGAAAGCAAAGGGTTTTCTTGAGGATTGCTAATTTCAATCAGATTTTTGAATATTGTTCATAAATCACTAAACCAACTCCAAAACCAAATAATCGGTGGAAAATCTCTGTGTTACATATCTGTTTAAAAAAATCTATTCAAAATCTGTTTTTCCATTAACCAGGTGTCGCACCCCTACGTACGACAACCCTCAAAAGTCGAAACTTGTGCGAGCTAAGAATTAACGAGGTTTTACCTTTTAACGTGTGATTCCTCTAAACTTTTTTCATTCACTATTCTTGGTAATCTTGGAAAAAAAAATTGGTTAGCACTGAATTCTATGAAAGAACACAACAATACGTTATCCAAAAAATACTGGTTTTAAACGAAATGGATGGTTTGAATCGAAACAGTTCTTATAGAAGTAAAGTAAAAGTAATAACAAATAATCAAGTGGGCAGGTCGTGGAAAAGGAATGTCACGACGAAAAATTCCCAAGTTAATGAAATTTTAGTATGTTGTTTACAATGTTTAATGATGAGTTATCGACTTCGAGAAGGTTGTCTGAAATTTAAAATTAATAAAATTTTAGTATGTTGTTTTCAACGTTAAGTGATGAGTTTTCGACTTCGAGGAGGTTGTATAAAATTTTTGGTAGCCGAAAAACCGCGAAATTTTTTGACTTGTTTTAGTTTTTCACCTATAACTCGAATACGGTCAATCTAAAGTGAAAAGTCATTCTGAATCAAATTAAAGAAAATAAAAAACAAAATTTCCCGTCAATCAAGAAAAATTACCTCAAAATCGGTAGGATGAGAAAGTTTTTACGGACAATAAAAAATTTTTTTTTTCAATTCCGGTAAAAACTGCTATAACCTATTTTCAAAGTGCTGTAGCGCTACGCCCAATCAATTAGAAATTATTAATAAGTACGATTTGGAACCATATTGACGTAAATTCACTTTCTGTTATACCTACAAGGTACCTACCATATGAAAAGTGTGTGAATTGTTTTCAAGTTATTAGCCGCAATCGTTATTATTCTGATTATGAAAATTATTCTGGGAATCTGGGAACCAAATTCCAACTTGCCTGACTTCCACCGACTAGTGATGCTGCAAGGCATCACTCCTTCCGTACATACCAGCGGGTACAAACTTGGTTAGGGAACAACAAAATCCCTACAGTTTGGGGGTGGTCACTAAGCAAGCAAGGAGTGGTACCTACCACCACCACGAAGAACGCAGCTCTGGATTCTATCCTCAACATTCTTGCCTGCAAGTGCGCCGCGGCCTGCAGTTGCAAAAAGGCAGGTCTGCAGTGCTCAGTAATTTGCAAGCATTGCTCCGACCATGCTCGCGCGAGCCTAACCTCTGTAAGGAAGGCGAAGATGACGACGTCGATGAGGAGGACGTCATGAATGAGATTATCCCATGGACTAGAGAGAAGCATGAACTAGAGGACGACGACACCGAACCTCCGGAGAGCTTTCGTTACTGAAGAATGAATAAATTCATTATTCTTCTTCTTCTTCTTTATTGTTAATTACTGCATCCTCACAAGTATTTTCACTTTTATTTCACTATATATGTTATTCCATATTTTTCTTTGTGTTCGTTGTGAATACATTGTTTTGAATGATGACGGTTTTTTTACTACTTATCAGGTACATATATATACAGGTGAACCCTTATAGGTCCCTGGGTATTTTACAATGGAGGCGGTTTGGTATTAGAGGCGATTATGGGTCAGAGAGTTCAGTAATCCCCAGGAAAGAGCATAGAATCATTTTCGAGGAACACTTATTTTGGAAAAACGGTTTTGAAAATTCAAAAAAATGTGACAATTTCGAAGTTTTGGGGCTTATTGAACTCTCCAATTGATGATTCACAACATTCAGGAGAGTAGGCGAATGGGATTGATGGTGTAGCGCTACAGCACTTTGAAAATGGCTTATAGCAGTTTTCACCAGAAAAACATGTTTTGATTGTCCGTAAAAACTTTCCTATCTGGCTAATTTCGGATTAATTTTTTTTTGTATAGTATGTGTAAACAACATACTGAAATTTCATTAACTTGGGAATTTTGCGTTGCTTAAAGTACCTGCCGACTGGACTAAAAATACAATATTCATGTGAGAGTTTTCAATAAATATGTTGGTAATGCACTGTAGCCACATTCCGACACACAAGATTTTATCTGCCACTGATAATAAATGATTAGAAATCTAAGCCGAGCATAAATAAGTGTTTTTTTCATACGATAGCTGACACTTGAATAATGATAAACATTCCTATCCTATCTTTGAAAAGTAAATAAATGAAGAATTAGACTTTCAGTTCGAAACGATACTTATAATAAAAGACACAATGGTTTTATCATTTTTATATTATCAGAACTACTTTACCCAATACAAGCGAATATCCTCAAAAGTTGTGTGAACTTGGGATTAACATCGTTTCAACTTTCACCTTGATTGCTAGCATAGATTAGACAGTACCTACGCATCTAAAGACCTACCATTTCAGAGCAGCAGTCGATTCCGTATTCACACTAGCGGTTATTCATCTATTGAAAACACTTCTCCCTCACGAACAAAAATGGTGTCACTCGACGCGCGTTCTGCTAACCAAGTGAGCATCACCAGGAAATAATCAAAGAATTGATGTACAGAGTGGGCCAAATTGGAAACTTTTGAAGGGAAACTCCTTTTTCCAAAGTAGATAGAGAAAAACTGATGGCTGTGCCTGGGGTCAATTTTTATTACAAACTCAATGGTAAAAACAGCATATCGATTTCGAAAATATGCATTTTCGGAATGTTGTTATAACTTCTATGAAAACATTTCCAAAGCACTTTTTAGGTAGAATTCAATTGTGTATAAAAGTAATTTTTTCAAATGAGATATCAATAGTTATCGATGGAAAACTATTTTTAACGAGACACCCTGTATATTCCTGCATATTTCAATAGAGCGCAATATTATCTTTCCAAAAATATAGCACACTTGATGTTTTGCTAGAATCTTCTTTGAAATACAGAGTTTTTAGGTTTTTTCATGTAGACGCGGCTATGAAATAAAAAGAAATTGCTCAGTAGTAGCTATCAAATGATGAAAAAGCTTTTCACAGCAGTAATTAAAACTTGTAGCAATAAAACTGATAACAATTTATACTAGATTCACTACTAATAAATGAATTACCGAACTAATTAGTTCAATAGGAGTGAGAGAAGCAAAACTTTGCATTACTGCCGCTTCCCATTCGTATCTATAATTGGTCGGCAATTCAAAAATAAGATCTTTCAACCTTCCCCAGGGGTAAAAGTTCATAGGCATTAGGTCCGATGACCTTGCCGGCCAACGCTTGTGTCCTTTGGTTGGTTATGGAATTATTAACAAAATTTGCAGCCAAAAAATTGGTGACGATTGCAGTGTTGTGGGGCGAAGCCCCGTCTTGTTGAAAATATATTTTTCTGAGCTTCATTAGGGGCAATTCATCAACAAGGGATTCGATATTTTGCCTTAAAATTTATAAATACCTCTGAGATGTGAGAGTGCCATTATAAATGATCGGGCCGATAATTCTACCTCTGAAAACACCTGCCTACACACTAAATCGAAATCTTCCTTGACTTCCCTGGTCCACAATAGAATGAGGATTTTGTTGTGCCCAAGTATAAAAATTGTAGCTGTTGCACTGCTCACATAAGTTTCGTCAGTCCAAACACAATTTAACGTAAAATCACGCACTTGGATACAACTTTTCAGTAACCATTGGCAAAAAGCCATGCGGTGTTCAAAATCTCCTGGTCTAAATTGATATATTACATTTTCAAGAGTAACATGAAACATGACCACAAGTTGATCTGAATATTCGTGTACTAAAAAATCGTTCCAGGAACCCTCCTGTTACTGGTGACTCACTCTGTAGATACACATAATGATATAATATAATTTTCGGTATCAATTATTCAATTAATCAACCTGATTTCCAATTTCGAAAAAAAAATTCTAGGCGTCTCAAATGAACATTGATTTTTCAATTCTACCAGAAACGTTGTCATAAAAATGAAGCAATGTATATTCGTATTTCTTTCATCAATTTGTTTTTCATTTTTGAATATTCATAAAGACATTAAACATTTTCATTACATGAAAAATTTGATGTTTCCATCTGAAATGACGATCAATTATAATCTGTAGGTATTTTATGTCATTTTTTTCTGATATTTTTTTATCAGATATTTCAACGGGCTAAAACTTGTTAGATTATTTCCTATATGAATAAATGCACGGTATTTGGTAAATTTGAATCCAACCATTCTTCAATAATATTGAAGTCTTTGGTAACATTTTATTTCAAGCTCATTATATTTTCGGCACTATAGTGGTGTCATCTATAAATGAGTCAGTTTTTCCTTAAATATGTAAATTCATTAAAACATTCACGAAGATTAAATGAGTACATCGTATTTGAAAAAATCAATATTTCTTTGAATTTTATATGCTATTTCCTTTCAATGAAATGACTTTAAATTATAATTATTTCTATAGTGTCTATTTACTCAACAGTTTCTTGTTACGAATAGTGTCGAAAGCTTTTTCTAAATCGAGTAATATACAAAGTGTGGGATTGTTCATATCTAATAACTGATAAATGAAATTTCTTTGGACAGCTTGTTGCATTTGTTATTAATTATTTTAATAAAATGAATATCTTCTCTCATTATAGGTGAATACGATTTTGGCAATGGTAACAACGATATGTCGAATTTTCTTCATCTTCAGGAGTTTCTAAAAACTGCTAGAGAAGAGGATTTATTCGTAATCATCCGTTCAGGGCCATTTATTTGCGCTGAATTTGAATTTGGAGGTCTTCCTAGTTGGTTATTGAAAGAAAACAATATAGAAATAAGAACATCCAATGCTGCTTATATGAAACACGTCACGAAATATTTCAATGTGTTGATGCCGATTCTTGCACCACATCAATTCACTGAAGGTGGACCTATAATTATGTTCCAAGTTGAAAACGAATATTCAATATCAGGAAAGCACGACTTAAAGTATTTACAATTGCTCAGAAACCTGATGATTTCCAAGGGTAAGTAAAAAACTTATTCAGCACCTTTATAGATTTTTACCAGTCTCCATTCAATGAGATTCTAACGTTGATATATTGGATAGTCTGGAATATTTCTGGGAACAAAAACAGATATTCTTAAAGAGAGTAAGTAAGTGAGTAAATATATTCAATTCAGTTATAAGACAAATAAATATTCGTCTATGACATAAGAAAAAAGTAGATACATAAAATTCAGAGATTATAATACTATAATCCTGAAAAAACTAATGAAAGTTACGGCTTCCTAAGCAAGATTGTATTGTAGTCAGCAATCAAAAAAGTAATTCAAATCCTATATAACCAGACATTTAATTTTGTTTTCTTTCTATTCGATAGTTCACTAGCATTTGTCGACATATAAGCAAATTTACTACCGCAGTATTCCTGCCTATTTTTCAATTTGGTTTTCTCCTTCTTCTCCCCTCTTTTCTCTTTGCACATTTTTCCCTCCAATTTTGGAAATATTACAAAGTTTCGTAAAAAAAAAACATTCGAAGAGGATAGGAAATTAATAATCCCATATTGATAAAGGATATGAAATCAACAGTTTCATTAAATACCAATGATACCAATAAAATACCATATGACCGAGTGGAGCAGTTCCGAAAACATTAACGAATGAATCCACACCCCATTGTTTTAACTTATGTATTTCCATTTTTCTAGGTATCAAAGAATTATTAGTTACAGCCGATAATCCAGATAAAGAAACATACGGTACCCTTCCAGATCTATTCCTAATGACAGGCAACTTCGACAAGAACCCAAAGACACAACTAAATATTTTAAAATCAATTCAACCGAACAGACCTACAATGACTATGGAATATTGGGGTGGCTGGTTTGACTTCTGGGGAAATTCTCATACAAAAAAAACCTTGGAAGAATTCCGTTACAACTACGAAGAGATTCTGCGGTACCCTGCATCTGTCAACATATATATGTTCGTCGGTGGCACTAATTTCGGTTTCCTGAACGGGGCACAGAATTTGAAGTATGACGATGAGAACACGGGTGAGATTTGTCATTATAGAATTTGTATATGAGTGATCATCAGAGCTCCGTCGGAGTTCAGTTCAGAACTATCATGTATTGGTTAGCTATATGTTTCAATTGTCATTGGACGGTCAAGTGTCATCCCGATTGTAAATCCGTTCGCCTATGACATTATCACGACGTTTCAGCAAGATCCCACATACCATATTCATGTGCTCTACTTGGTAGCTGAACTTGAAACTGGCAAGTGGGCAATATGTCAAGAGAGATCTTGCCAAAACGTCGTGATAATGTCACAGACGAACATATGTACACCCGGGATGACACTTCAGTATGTGTTATCATCCATGGATTACGCCAGTATGTGTTCGGAAAGGTTTCCGCGGTCAGCAATCTGATTCCAGGTTGACTCGCGTCTTGTATTTTTATAAGTTCGGCTACGGCTTTGAAACCATTTTCAAGAAGCTATCACCATCCTGAGGTCTCAATCTGTCTACTCCTCAAGTAGTGACACGCTGCAAGGGTTCTTCAACTTAACGCCGGGGCCTCAATCTGCCACTGACAATGACACTGACATCGGCAGTGCCTTCGGATCCTCTATACATGCCCCTATCAAACACCTTGCTAATACTCTCCAACCACTAGCCGAACAGTCCTCGTAATGTGTCAAAAATTTCTATCATTCAATTGAAATTCTTAAATCCACCAATATCCAACAGGCATCCTTGTCTACTTTCACGTAGAATCCCTTTTCAAGAATATCTGTTCACCGAAAACCGAAACCCATAATACTCGCTTTGTCAATGCTAAGTCTCATCATAATCCTGCCCAATCAAATTCAGTTCCGAATTCTCTTATACACAGGTCTGTCAGACTCACTGACGCCATCTATGGGTTCGAAGGAGATCTTGGGAGTTTCGTATATCTTTAATAATCGAGGAGTGAGTTCTCTGTCGAGTTCTTTGTCTACCTTACTCACTCAGGCTTGTCCTACGAGTACAGTTGAGTACAACAGCGTATTTATGGTTCAGCCTATCATCACTGATAAGACCAAAGGCGGGACAAATAGTGCTATATGTGGTTGAATCACAAATGCGTTGTGTTTGGGCTCTGGTTTTCCACTAATTGACTTGAAAGCGGAAGTGAAAGACAGAGAACGAATCACTTCTGCGGTTAATGTCAAAGCTTGGCTTTGCAAGTGACCTCCTTGAGGATCCTTAATATTCAAGGATTAAGTTCTTTGTCGACCCATAGAAGCCCTTTTTGTGAGGGAAATGCCATTTACCTTACGAACTGTTCAATTTTGAAATTTGTTTGTTTGATGTATTCTTATCAACACTCTAAGAACAAAATTGCTGAAGATAGTCATTGAAAATACCTGGATATCGTCATTTTTTCATATTTCATTTAATAAATACCAATAAATGTTTTGCATTGCATTTCTTTCAGATTTCCATTCCATTACATCCAGTTATGATTATCTATCACCATTAGATGAATCCGGAGATTACACTGACAAGTATTGGGCAGCAAAGGAACTTTTAGCGAAATATAACCGAGTCCATACAAAACTGCCAGATGTGCCCAGTGCACCGAAAAAAATCGCTTATGGAAGTGTTGAAATGGAAAAACAAATTTTCCTATATTATATGTTGCAATCCATAAAACCAGTTCATTCGACTAACCCGATAGCTATGGAAAAGTTAGACATCAACAATGGAAATGGTCAAAGTTACGGTTACATTGTTTACCGAAAAACTAATCTTGATATTCCAGCTAATGGAATCCTTGAAATTGAAGGAAGAGTGTGCGATACGGTGATGGTTTTAGTCAATGGAATTTTAGTATCACCATGGTTAGAAAAATCTTCCGACTTGAAAAATGCGTTTGGGACGTCAATGACAAAGAACTCTAAACTAACTCTCACCGACAAACATTTACAAGGGGCTACTTTGGATATAATTGTGGAGAACTGGGGAAGAGTGAATGTTGGTGTTTACAAACAATTCAAAGGTATTTGGCAGGGAGGAATAAAACTAAATGGAAATTATTTGAGGGACTGGACAATATATCCGCTCGAGTTCACTAAAAGTTGGACGAAGAGCCTCACTCAGTGGAGCAGTATTCTTGAAGATTCTAAAGGTCCATCTCTCTACAGAGGAACTTTGGAAATAAAAGGTACCCCTGAAGATACCTTCATTCATATGGAAAGTTGGGTAAAAGGAATTGTAATCGTCAATGGATTTGTACTAGGTAGATATGCAAGAATGGGTCCTGTTCAGACATTATATCTGCCAGCACCTTTGTTGCAAAGTGGAAAAAATGATATTTTAGTTTTTGAACATTTTCAGCCCTTTAGGAGCGTAGACTTTGTAAAGAACCATATTTATAAATCATATTGAAATATAAATGATTTATTGATATACCGCTACAACACATAATAAAACTTCATTCAATCTATTCTCTCATTTCTTCCTCTTTTCTTCAAATTCATGGCCTGAACCAAATGCGCATTGCTCATTGGGTTGCATGTTAATAAATATCTGTTTACTGTTTGATTACTAATGTGCAATAAAATGTGAAAATTTTACCATAAATTGTATCAGTTGTTGATGATATAGATTTTCATCAAGTCAAGTATTGGCTAGTTCTATCTGATCAGAGAGAGCATCATTCCATGAAGAACTCAAAATTTAGAACAACAGAGTGACCAGGATAGAGTCTGTGGAATTCGAAGAGGAAATCTCAATATTTCATTCGCTTTTTCACTCCAGACTATATTCGCTTCTCCCAGAGCGAAACAGTTGATGATGAAAGCGTCTTACTTTGATGTTCGATGTTCAAACTACATCATGTGTATTGTCTTGAATTTGCCTAAAAATGAAAAAAAAATGTGTTTCAAAACATTTGACAATTTTCATTCTACACGAATAGGGATGATTACGGTAAACTCATACGGCAGAGTGCGCGGAGTGTTTGTCACATTGGTCATTAGCTGCCAAAGTTTCAACCGTTATTTATTGATTTATTGGAGAGTTTCTTTTTTAAATTGCTTGCAATTCAAGATGTATTCTACATGGCGTATCACACAGTTGAAGGAGGAGTTGCTGAGAAGAGGTGCAACCCTAAGAGGAAAAAACCTCTGAACTAATTACTCAACTGAGGTAAATTACTCAACTCATCAAGATGTTGAGGACACCGTGACAGATCATGATGAATCCTTTGATTTCTGACTTCAGCCGATGTCACCTGAAGAAGGCAAAAGTCAGGTTTTTGGTTAAGTCAAGGTCTTCTATGCTATGGTTTATTCCTGTGAAGCTGCAGGAATAAAGTGATCTCTGCAGCTTCCATGTGAACTTCTTGATGACTTGAAAACTTGTTCATATAATTCAAATAGTATTTTTGCATCATTGAACTCAGCTTCAAGTACCGATAACTACTAGTTCACAATATAGCAGTACCATGTCAAAATTAGGGTATCTTGAAATATATACCTATATTACAATATTCACTTGCAGTATAACAAATACTCATCATGCAATTTCCAAATAGCAAGTTTATAATTTATAATACTTGCGAAAACGTTTCGAAGAAACAAATTATAAAACTGTATTCCTCCCAGAAATGTTGGCAATGTGGCCTCGTTCTATAAAATAACTTGGTATCAATAGCAAGCAGTGTGACTTATTTTACCTACTATGTTAACCCTATATATAACTGTTGAAAAACACTAATTTCTAGGAGTGATGGTATTGCAGCAAAGTTGGACTACTTTTAAAGCTATATATTCGTACAAAAAAGCTAGTATGAAGATAGGATTTCTCACGTATAGTTTGGATAAATATTATCTATCGAGATGTTTTGGATGAGAAGCTTTTTCCATCGATTATGAAGGCTAAATTTTAAACATACATACAAGCTACCGGACTGAGTCATGGCCGGTGGGAGAAATCGTATCTGCCTAAAGTTTTGGTCGTAAAATTGCATATGTTCATGCAATTTACTTTTAAACTCCATCACTAACTGAATACGGTCCTGAATTTGGATGCTTACGGCTCGAATAATCTAACAGATTGATAACACATTTCTACACATCTACTACACATCTTGAGAGAGGGGTTTCTCACAGGCCATGACTCAGTACGGCAGCTGTATACATGATGCTACATACATATACATGGTGCTTCACTTAAAACGACGGATTTTAATCATTAATAACCTTTTCCTGTTTTCAGTAAGAAGAAAATTAGAGCATTAGGGTACGTGGAAAACTTTAAAGTGTTTTGTAAGTATTTCAAAAAGCTTCAAAAACATTTTTTTTGGAACATTCAGTGATTTCCTCGTTTATTTGACGCGCCTTGAGTCTAAAGCTATTACTTTATGAAACATTATTTTTTTATCGATTTTAAAAACTAATAGCAAATTAACTCATTTCATTTCAAATGAAACGCGCCTTGAGTCTAAAGCTATTACTTTATGAAACATTATTTTTTTATCGATTTTAAAAACTAGTAGCAAATTAACTCATTTCATTTCAAATGACTGAATTAACACAAAATAAAAATGAATCCTATACTAATTATTAGTATTATTTTCAAAACCCAATAAATGTTAGAAATGGCCGCCACCTTCGTGCTTTCAGGGGGAGATGTAAGATGGTTTTTAAAACTGCTCGTGACAGAACTGCTGCAACAGCTTCAGAAATATCAACCTTGAAAGAATTGGAGTTTTAAAATATTTCCATGCCAATAGTAGGTACTTTTCAATATTTCCTAGGCAAATTAATCCAACTCAATCAATGAGTAAAATTAATTTTTCATAAGTAATAATTGTATAGCCTTAACCCTATATCATAATGATCGTCAGTTCAAGACACGTCAAATGAACAAACAAATTTCTGTGTGTTCCAAAAAAAATAAAAATCTTTATAGGAACTTCTTGGATCACACTGTATATCGGAAATATCAGCAAAACAAACCTCCATACCCTCCCACGTAACCTAGTACTTCAATTTTTTTCTTGCTAAAAATAGGAAAAAATTATTAACGATTGCTATCGGTTTTAGATACAACTGGCAACATCGCTCTTCTTTAGAAGTTTAATTTTTTAGAACGACGGTTTTTTATTCTTGCATACAATAATTGAAAGGAAACATCTTCGTTTCCAATCGTTCCAAATAATTCTAAATTCACTAACCATTTTTCTCTTTTTTTTTACTAAAAAAAGTAATAAAAAAATATATGTCACAAATATAATGGCAATGTATTTTATTCCCTTGTTCACTTCTGAACCTTAACTCGATTATGACTTTGGTTTACTCCACTACATATCATAAATTGAAGTTTCTGGCTGGCTGGTTAGCTGTCTCTTGAATGTTCTAAACCAGGAGTGCTCAAACGGTCGAGTACTTCTTGAGTCGATCTCGAGAAAAAAACTCCGATATAGAACCTATTCACAGATTTTGTTTTAGTAGATAGTTCACTAGAACAAAAGAAATGAATAAACTACTAAAATTTATTCGTTCCACAATTAGGCCAGAATAACACCCTCATCACTTTCTTTCATCGTAATAACCCTCTGCTAGCGGCAAAAGGCGGCTTTAACAAAGGAACGCGCGGTACTTGTCAAAGAAAAGCCGCGGCGATTCCCGTCTATTTTTCTAGAAACTTGAATAATTGTATAATTATGACTTCATTGACATTTTAGAGCAGAACTACACTTACCTTGACTGAAAAAAATGCATACTGTGCGTACTATGCTACGATATACTCTACCTAGAAGAAAATCCTGCATTACACATACTTGCAGCCTCTCATGAGTCCATCGATCGTAGTCTAACAATATTGAGGTAGATCTCCAACAGTTCAAGTTTGAGCAACCTTGTTCTAAACTGTCCTAGAATTTTCTGTGAGGCGAAATTTCAAGATTTTGCATCTTCAAAATCACCGTGTTAGGAATCACACGTTAAAAGGTAAGACCTCGTTAGTCCTTAGCTCGCACAAGTTTCTCAACTTCTGAGAGTTGTTGTTCGTTATCAGATGGAAACGAGCACTTCACAATAATCTGGAATGTTTTGGGATGTTTCAGCGCGGTCCTGGTCCAAAATATTCTAGTGAGTTGTGGAACTTTGTCGAATATCGTGGAATACTGTCAAACCATCTCGAATGTTCTGAATTGTTCTGAAACTTTATAGAGTGTAAAACTTCCAGCCCCTATATCTTCAACCCTTCAGGAGAAAATGAACATTCTTTACAGATGGTGGATAAAGAGCAAACATCATATATCTGCCTTCTTTGTTCCAGAATGATTTAGGATGGTTTGGGATTTTCGGAAACATTCCAGATAAGATTCCAGAATATTTCGGAATATTCTGATAATGAATATTTTCTAATACTTTGGACTGTTCTAGCACTTACTTGTTAGAGAGTAAAACCTTCTAGCCGTTACATTTTGAAAATCGCAACCATCTAGTAAAAACGGAAACAGGTAAAATATGTATGGCATATATGTTCTGCTACTTATGCAAAGCCAGGTCTGGCCACTAATGTTGAATAAAGTTGAGTAGATTTAGGCAACATGCGTACAGAAACATTAGTGAACAAGCAAACAATTACCGATATTGTTTTATTTGTGCAAATTTGAAGACATGTATGTAAAATTTTCATATATTTTGGAAAATTGGGTCTTCAACAAACTCAATTTTATTTTGTGCAATGAAATGCTCAAATATCAGTAGTATATTGGCTCCCTTCTTCAAGAGTGGAGCAGGCAAATATACAGTTTGTTGTGGACCCAGTTTCATATACCTCGACAAAATAAAACCATTGATAATAACAATTCCTTTATGCCAATTTCTCATATCAAGATAAGTATCTCGAGGTTCATCTACTGTTAATTCCGCTTTGCACAATTTCGGACCGGAACGAAAGACATATGTTTGCCAGTTTTTCAGTTCTTTCGTCCATGACTTTCTGAACTCCAAAGGTATAATTTCTTCTATTTCCAATTTTAAACCATTGAGTAGTATATTTCCTTGCCAGAGACCCTTAAACTGATTGAATTGGTACAGCTTTCCATAATTCACTCTTCCCAAATTTTCTACAACTAACTCGAGTGTAGCTTGCCGGTACTCCTTATCGCCCAAATTCAAGATGGAGTTCTTCAACTTCCAGTACCCAAATCCTTCCAAATCATCCTTGGTTTCCAAAATTTTCGATTTAAGTTTTCCGTTAATAAGAACAAGAACAGTATCGCAAACTCGACCTTCTATGGTCAAAGTAGAATTTTTAGGAATATTTATATTTGTCTTCTTGTAGACAATATAACCAAAGCTTTGCCCAGAATTATCATTAATAGGAAGAAGTTCCATCGGAATCAATCTGGTACTATTCCAAGATATTTTTATTCTACTCTGCCTAAGAAGATTATCCAATGAGATCTCACCAGTTACATCAATTGGAGGATAAACAACGCGTTTCTTCAAATCTGGCATTGATGGTTGTTTAACCATTATTTTGTTATGTTTGGAAATGATCTCTCTAGCTTTTTGATATTTGTCCGTATAATCACCAGCTTCTGATAATGGAGCATCGTAGTCGTACGTAGAGATAACCGGTTCATAACCTGAAAATATATTCATTCTGAGTTCAGAATACAATTAAAGATTATTTTTGAAGTAATAAAGAATCCGAAATTACATTATTTGAAGCTACCATTCATGAGTACCTACTAAAGAGTACCACCCTATTATTTTGAAATATAGTAATTCATATTGTTATCGAAAGAGCTACTTTCTCAATTCCGTTTGTTGTTATTAAGAGTTTACCTCTGTTTCTATCAGCTACATCTTTTGTATGGTTGATAGAAGTCAGTGCAAAATTACTGAACAGCCTGCATGAATTTTTTCTATGATGATGTGAATTGATGGAATATTAGGGAAACTTCAGAACTCATTATGCATATATATTTTCATTAGACTGTATATTTAGATATGACAGTATTTAAAACCCAAACTGCAAATTTTCAACTCCAGTTTTGTGAAACATAAAATGTGTTCATACTGTGTCGTGAAAATGACCATAGGTCACTCTGCCGAGTAAGAATTTAGTAAGAACCCGACGAAAAAAAAAACGATTTGAACCCATTTCAATGCCTTTTTTAATTTTTTTTTACGGTTGCAAGTCTGAATAGAAATTCTGGAAATCTTAAATATTTCGATCTAACTACTATATGGATATTCTACAGCTTGAAGACGTCAATTATTGGAATGGAAATAATTTATAGAAATAAAGTAATTCATTACATTTTTTGAGGAAACCTTGCTTAATTTGAGAATTATGTCTTCTCGTGTTCATGTACTTCCAAAACATGTAGCTTTGCATCTTCTCAGGAACTGTTTGACTATTCCAAAGCTCATCCATCTCATGAGATGTTTCCAATCTTGCATCACCAAACATATCTGACCAAGTTTGATGAAGAAATTCGTAACACTCTTCGACATAAGATACTCTTTCGGTATCTTATGGAGGTTTAGGCATTCGCACAATCATCGATCTTTCACTACCTGCCTTCTTCTCTTCAAGTTATAGTGTGACCAACATGATATATTCAATTTTACCACCCTCCTTTCCATCGGATAACAACTTGTGAGGGAGGCCGAACAACTATGGATCTCGCCAACTGGTTTAGAAATACCAAAGTACCAAAAGAAATGTTCAACAAACCTGGGATATTTCTCTTGCCTCAAATAATTTGTTAGACTTGGCTAAATCTCCTATAAAAAAGGCACGTATAAAAGCACTATCATCAAAACATGCAGGCGCTTGGTTGAATGCCTTACCAGTTTCATCCCTTGGTACATTATTGGACAATGAATCGTTTATAGTTGTAGGTTTTAAGAATTCAGAAGTATGCACACGATCAAGCTTGCATTTAGAATATTCGTTTATCATTTGGTATACATCTGATGTTTGCAGATGATCTGATAATGTATTTTTGGACGACAGTATTGAGTAACAATTCGATATAAAGTTCAATCGGTAAATCAAAAATCAGTTAAACAAAATTGGTGGATGTTTTCTACAATGATGAAGAAGTAAAACGTCAAATAGTTTTTTTTCCGAAAATGCTTTTTCTCCATAAACTAATCTCTGCTAAAAAATATACCCTTCTCAATTTAATTAATATTCATCAATTTTCGAAACAATCATTATCCAATTCTAGATGTTTGTCATAATATTTTGGAATTACTACATTACTATTTTGAACAATAAACATAATTATTTGTGAATATTTTGTCGAACTCAATATTAAAAATAGATGTCAAATACATATCCATCAGAAGTGGATGTGGAGTCATCATTCCTGATAAACAAAATTACCTGCATTATCAACAGAAGTGTCGTTGACGTCAGCTCCATTTAAAAATCCCCAGTTTGTACCTCCGTGAAACATGTACAAATTAACAGACGCGCCAAAAGACAGAATTTCTTCGAATACTCCCGCAAATTCTTTAGCAGATCTCGTATGGTGTGTTTCCGTCCAGTGATCGTACCATCCGGTCCAGTACTCCATAACCATCAAGGGTTTGTGTGGTTGAAATTTTTTCAAAATGGTAAGTTCGTTAGTAGCGTTGTTCTGGAAATTCGCAGTAGCTAAAACTCCTGGTAATGTTCCCGAGAATCCCAACGAAGGTTTATCCGACGTGAAAAGGAGCTCAACTATGCCATTTTCTTGGAAAATATCTTTAAGTTGTTCAAGGTAGGCTCGATCCACTGGTTTGTCGCCATCCTTCGTGTCACCGTATTCGTTTTCTATTTGAATAGCAATTATAGCCCCGCCTTTGGTAAATTGAAGGGGAGAAAGTAAGTTAAACAATTTTTTCAAATACCGTCTGACGAAATACATGTATTGAATATCAGTTGTCCTCACTTTTATTCTTTCATATCTTAGTAACCAACTAGGTAGACCACCAAATTCCCATTCTGCACAAATATACGGCCCCGGGCGAAGAATTACAAATAAGTCTTCTTCTTTGGCTAATTTAATGAAAGACACAACGTCAAGAAAGTCCTCAAAATCACTGCCACCGTTTCCAAAGTCGAACATACCATTTTTGTATTCATGTAGGTTCCATGGAACATACGTCTCAACTGCATTTAGGCCAGCTGCTCGGTATTTTCTTAATCTGTCCCCCCAATATTCTTTAGGAACTCGAAAGTAGTGAAGTGCGCCACTGAACAACGTGATATTTTTGTTATTCAATCTGAAATATACATCTCCATCGTCCAATCCATAGTCAATACCATCTTCAGTGTAATATTGATATAAACTTGGCAGCTCGGCAAAAACATAGTTACTTACAATTACGAAACAAGCAAAATTCAGTATGATTGACATGTTCAAAAGTACCTATACTACTGAATACATTTTTTGTTTCTCATCTGCAAGTTCATAAGTTCATCGACTGTAAAACAAACAAGATCGACTATTATCGTGTTCTGAGAACGACAGAAGTCAACCACCTCGATGTTTTGTATTTTCTCTTCAAGTTGCCAAATTGAATCATTTAAAGTGCAAAATGTGTAATTCATATTTTTTCATAAATATCGATCTAGATCTGGTGCCAATAATAATAATAAATCTTCATATTTAACTGAATCTGAAATAGAATGTACTTAGGAATGTCGAATTCTTTAGGAATAAAATGGCGCAATCTCTACTCCATGGAATTCTTGACCACCTGTTTTGAATTCAATGTTGGTTCATTATCTGTTCAAGTTCAAATATTCAATTGCCGATAACTAATAGAAGGTCCGCTTCTGGAGTTAGTTATCTTTGTCCGGTTATAACAACGGTTTAGGTTTAGTCAGGAATAATAATTCTCAAATACATCTCATTTAGGTTTGAAAAAATAAATGATAAAGCTCAAACCTCCGGCGTTGAATAAATCCAAAAAAGCACTTTTCCCAGTTACCAGAAATGCAATACACGTTTCGACGCGCGTTTCACCAATCAAGCTGGCGTCTTCAGGAGATGAAGAAAACTGTTTTATTCACTCCTGAAGACACCAACTTGGTTGGTGAAACGCACGTCAAACAGGTTGTTATGCTTCAGAGAAGGGAAGGAAAGGGAAGGGAATAGAAAGGATGGAAAGTTTATCTTTCTTTCAGACTTGTACATAAATAACTCGCTTTTCGCTACCCTATCACGACTGATCGATGCTCAATTTTCCTGAAAATCTCCTCATTTCACGAAAGTTTGTCAGCATTTTCGATGGTAGATTTCATAATGATTTTTCCGAATTTAAAAATTGATTTACAAAACTATAAAAAAAAATTCAATTCAAAAAAATACTCGGAGATGCATTCATGCCCTAATGACTGGACTATAGGAGATGACAATTAAAACGAATCCAAAAAAGATATCAACAACGTTCCAACGGCATTCTCTAACTGAAATGATTTAGAATACAGAACATTGAGAAAGACTTGTGAATTTGACCCCTTGACCTTCAATTTCAAGGTCAAACTTCAATTTTTTCAATGTTTCTCATAAATCATGAAAATTTGCCAAGATGCGATTTTTTCTCTCATATACTTTATTTTTTTTCTCAAACGTAAAGGAAATAACAAAAAAATGGAGTCGCACATCAAAAAAATTGGAAAACAACGTAGCTATGATTTTTGATAAATCTACCTTCAGCAGTTCTGGTGTTTAGGAAAAATGTTTGTTCTGAAAATGATAAATAGTACCATCTATTTGTGATTTGTTAAATTTAACTAATAACTGAAGGAAAATTCACTTAAAATATAAAATAACATGGTTTTTCTCAAAATTCCTCGAAATTCAAATTATAATTTTTTTTCACATTTCGCTTATGCATAACTCTTGAACATTTTTCAGAATTTTCGACTTGCGACCACTCATTTTTCTGTCAATACAACTTACTACATTACTACTACTACTACTGCTACTACTGTGCTGTATAATCATTAAAATATATTTTTCTCTTCGTCATTCTGAATCGATTAATCTATCTATCTATACTGATATAAATGTGAAAGTTTGTGAGGATGGATGTATGAATGTATGTATGTTTATGGCTCTTTCACGCCTAAACGGATTCAGATGAAACTTAACATAAATACAGCTTATACATCAGGATAACATATAGGCCACAATTTACAGGTTTTCTGTGATTTTGGTCATAATATAACGATAAGTATTAAGTGAGTCGGAAAAATTCTTGCTCCCTGAGAGCTATCTTGGCGTGCGACGCCTATACCTTTGGAGTTAAATGCAGATAATGCACCGTAAGATTGTGTGAAGTTAATGATTCGGTTTATTGAGGGGCACGCTCTTGTTGAGCGTTTTCTTATGTTTATGCCTAACAAGGATCATAAGGCAAAGGATATGTATGAGGGCTTGATTAATTTTCTAGAACAAAACGAGCTGAATCTGAAGAACATTCGTGGACAGTCGTACGACAATGTTTCGGCAATGAGTGGCAAATATAATGGTCTACAAGATTAAGATTGATACAAGAAAAAAATAGCCTAGCAGCTTGGGTGCCGTGTGTTGGGCATTCACTTAATCTTGTCATACAATCGGCAGCCAGTTGTTGTCTCAGAGCAATAAGTTTCTTTGATTTTTTAGAAGAGCTGTATGTATATTTTACTGCTTCAACTAACAAGCACAATACAGTTAGTCGCTGTTTAAGAAAAGCAAAAACGGACTAACCTATTCTTGTGCCGAAAAGAACAACAAAAACTCGCTGGTCATATCAAGTTGAAGCCACTAAAACACTCTTGCGAGGCTATAAAGGTTTTATAAATGCCCTCGAAGAAATTATTGAGGGCGAAGAAGACACAACTAAATCAAGAGCAATAGCTGTCGGTCTGCATGATGGTATGGCAAACTGAGAAAAAGCTATATATACAGTTTTTTGGGATGATGTTTTGGGACATTTAAATAAATTCAGCAAAAGCCTACAAAATCCTAGGTGGGACTTGAACACTGCTGCAGCACTGCTTACTTCATTAAAATCAACCATTGAAAATAAAAGAAACAGTTTTAAAGAATATGAAGTAAAAGCTTTCGAGCTTGTTGATTGCCGAAACTACGAAGAAGAAAAAAGGAGAAAAACAAAAAGAAACGTCCAGTTGTCCACTTCAGATTGCACGCAAGCTTCGGAAGTTTAGAAGTCACCCTCGGACAAATTTAGAACTCAAAGCTACCTTCCAGTTGTCGACCAGCTCAGAGAATGGACGCGTACTCACTTATAAATGCACGATTTGGATTTCTGATCAAGAAATTTTGTCTGCCAGCCAAAACTTGGTGAAAACCTACTGCGACGACGTAGATGATACTCTTGGCAACGAATTCATAAATTTCAAACTATAAAGAATTTGAACAGAAGAGAAGAGGAGAGATTTGCTATGAGAGATGGATGTATGAATTGTTGTGTAAAAACAATGTTAAAGAGTGCTTTCCCAACGTTTAGGTAATTCTGAGAATTCATCTCACACTAATGGTGACAAATTATAAGGCTGAAAGATCCTTTTCGAAACTGAAACTTATAAAAAAAACTCTCAAGTTCCATTTTGGCTCTCCTTAGTTGAGGGAAACAGACTTCGACGATATTATCGATACGTTCATTAGTGTGAAAATCAGACGAAAAATGATTTAGCTTGGTTGATTTTGAACAAATTTTATGTTAGCCAATTTATTCAATATATCCCTTCTTCAACTTGACCTTAATAGAAACTTTCAATAGTTAACCACAAACGATTTGAGGGCCTCCACCACATGATCTGCCTATGGGTCGTCGAAGTCTGAATCCGGCGCTGAATCCACCTCTTATGTGGTAGACACTATATGCAAAATACTGAGCCATAATTAAATTGGATACTTTTTTCACAATGCACATTTTAGAATATCTGTCAAATTCTTATAAATACAATTGTCCTTTCAAGTATTTAATATAGATGAACTTTGTCTTTTACACTAAGTAATTTGGACGAATCGTTTAAAAGTTATCACGACAAGATTAACTTGACGCAACGCAGCATTAAGCTTCAGGTCTAATGTAGGACGACAGGGGACGATAAGCGGGGGTAAGGCGGTCCAAGCAATGAAGCGCCATCGCCGAGAACGCGATCGAACGCGGGCAAACGCGTGAGGGCAGACGTCGTTGACGGTTGTGCTGGTTTTGCAAATTTCTTTATAGGTAACATAATTCGATTCTCGAAGTTATACATTACTTAGTGCAGTTGGCATATTTTTTTACTTACTGTATTTGTAAAGTAGAAATATAAATTACTAGCTGTTGCCCGCTCTTATATTAAAGTAGAGCCGAAGCTACCAAACCTAGAATTTTGAGATATGTAGGTAGGTTCTTTGTATAGCGTAAATAAGCACCAAGAAAGCTAATCAGGAATTTCCACCCCCCAATGGGGAAAATTAGGAGTTCAAAGATTGTATTGAATTCCGTCAGTTTTGAAGTTGGAAACTTGATGTTTTGGGCTGATAAAAAAATATTGTAACTATTTGTTTAAAAGGGTATGTCATAAAACTTAATGTGACAAACCAAATTCTACGCGGGCGGAGCCGCGGGCAACAACTAGTCACTCATATTTTTAGGAGCCACGAATTTCCACTTGTGAACTAGACGAAGAATGGAAACTGTTCAGAAATCAATGGTAAATATATATCTGAGTCCGAATCTCCTAGTTGTGCTGTTCTTTACTTTTGTCTATTTTGAATTTGCGTCACTGTCGTTAAACGTAATTTCTAGAAGTGAACAGCTTGTACGTGTTTATAATATAGAATATAGAGCCATGAATCGGGATCTGACGAAGAAAATTTTAAGAAAAACAATTTTTTTAATATTTTGAACAATTTATTTTTTGTTTTCATATAACCACTCGTGAGTTCTATTTTGAGGTTCAAAAATGATTCTAATTTTATTGAATATCAAAAACATTTCATTGTAGTTATTTCAAAAAATCAGATTCTCCGAAAATTTTATTTGTTTTGAGGGTGAAAAGTGCTCAAAAACTAATAATTCATTTTCGCCCTTTTTCAGAAGAGGAGCAGGTAAATACGCTGTTTGTTGAGGACCTAATCTCAAATATCTCCCCAGAACAAATCCATTGATAATAATAAAACCCTTATTCCACTCCCTCATATCGACGTAAGTATCTTTGGGTTCATCCACATTTAGTATAGCTTTGTACAATTTTGGTCCAGACTCGAAAATGGGAACTTTCCAGTTCTTCAAACCATTATTCCACTTTTTTTTGAACTCTAATGGAATAATCTGGTCAATAGTCAGAACATGATCGTTCAGTAATAAATTTCCCTGCCAAAGTCCTTTATGTTGGTTGAATTGATAAAGTTTTCCAAAGTTTACTCTTCCCCAGTTTTCAACAACAAGTTCTAAAGTAGCGTTTTTGTACTCTTCGTTTCCAAGATTCAAGGAGCCATTTTGCAATTTCCAGTACCCAAAACCTTCGAAGTCCTCCTTTGATTTCAATATTCTAGATTTGAGTTGACCGTTTATGAGGACAAGAACTGAATCGCAGATTCTCCCTTCTATTTTCAGTGTGCTGTTTTTGGATATATTCAAATTGTTTTTTCGATAAACTATATAGCCGTAACTTTGACCAGAGTCATTGTTTATTGGCAACATTTCCATTGGCAGCACCTTATCGGTAGACAATACTTTTGATTGTTCCACAAGATCTTCAAGTGATAATTCACTGATTATATGAATAGACGAATAGGCAAATCTTTCAGTTGATGCAGGCATATCGGGTTGTCTGACTTTAATTTTATTGTGCTTGGCTATGATGTCTTTTGTTTTATAATATTTGTCCGTGTAATCGCCTGATTCTGTTAGAGGGGCATCGTAATCGTAACTGGTTATATCCGGTTGATAACCTGAAAACAAATTTTGTTTTTATTAAGATTAAAATGAAAAACAATAAATATTGCAAAGATTGTGCTTCAAAAATGTTTCGAATTTCAATAATAAATGGGTTATATGTATTCATCACTGCTTTCATACAAAGTTGAATAATACATTATTATTTTCGAATAACTATACGTGAAAAATGAAATCATAAAGAATGAAAGATACCTTTTTTAAAATCATTCAATTGAGGATTAAACAGCTTTCAAAAGCACGTTGCTTATTTGCCTGACAAGAAATTTGGAAAAAATTGTAATTTAATGATTATTACTCATCAGTGTTCCTGGGTTTTTCAATTAGAAAATACTCCATAAATGATATTTACACTCAAGAATTAATCTGAAAAATATATTTTTCCTGAGAAAGAAAGGTTTTGGCTTTATACTTCTTCATCTTGATATAAAAATTGGGGAATCTTCCAAAGAAAGTAAGTGAAATTTTATCTCGTTCATTTACTACATTGTGTAGCAATCCTGTAAATGATATCTGAGTCAATTCCGTAAGGAATGTTCGCAGTAAAAACTGAATAGGGAAAAGTATTTTTGAATAATTAATTCAGTGTTCATATAAAAGTAATTGTTTTGGAAAGTATCTTTCTTTTGTGTCATTCAATGTTTATATGGAAGTAGCTGTTTTGAGAGGGATCTTCTTCCAGTTTGTGACTGGAAGTTATTTTTTGCATGATCTACACACCTGTGTGCAGAGTAAATTTTCTGAAATTGGTTGCTTTTTTCTTTGGAATATTCCCATAATATTATATGAAAATGAAGAAGTAGAAAGCCAAAACACTTCCTTTACGAAAATTAATCGCTTCTGAAAATATACCCATTTCAATATTCTTTCTATTTTCCGAAATGAAAAAATGTTTCATTCAGAGTTTTGAACTCAAATTTTTCTTTACTTAGACACTAGCTCACTGCTAGAATTAACTGGATCCATTAATTAAATCATGTTGATTTCTGTTCCTATTTTAATGAATAACACGAATCACACATCAAAAGGTAAGACCTCGTTAGTCCTTAGCTCGTACAAGTTTCGACTTTTGAGGGTTATCATAGGGGTGCGACAGGTAGTTAACGTGAAAAACATATTTTAACATATTTTTAACAATACGGAGTGGTATTCAACTTTATCAAATGTACATTATTACATAAATCATCGCTTAATAAATGTATTTATAAAGAATATATTCAGTTTTATTTCTTGAAGGTGCGATTATTTCAGAATTCTCAATAATGAACTGTCAGCCTTATCCGGTTAGATAATCTCTATGACAACGAAAGTAATAATGTACCTAGAGGAACATATTAATTACTATATCGCTCGCTATATCGATAGGTTGGATCTCCTTGAAAAGTGAACTAAAACTTTTTCTGTCGTCGTTCAATTAGATCATTGAAGAAACTTAAATAGGTATTTCGAATCCTTTTTGTGAGCGGATTAAATTTCTGGAGATAAATTTCATTAGTGTAGTGTTGATCTCAACTGCTCATTTTACCCAGCTGATCAAGAATTTGTTAATTTCATGGGTTTTCATATGTGTAAAACATTTTTAGTGTAATGTTGATTCCATTGGTTCATTTTGCCCATATGATGGAGTTCGCTGATTTAATTGCATGTCTTTGTATTTCTATTATAGAAAAAAACAGAAGATGTGTGCGTAATCAGTATTTCCATCATAAATGTGTACTTTACTACTTCGGCACTTTATTTCGAAAAATGTTGCATCCAAAGAGATATAATATAGCCACAAAATACGAAAACTAGTCCTTATTTATAATAGAAGTAATAGAAGTGCATAAATACAGAGTGGACGTAATTATTCTTCTCCCCTCTTAACTTTTAAACGGAACAATGTATCAAGGCGGAAAAAATCACGTGAAACAGTATCATTTTCTAAGAAAGCGTAGATGGGAAATCTCAAGTTCAGAGTTATAATTTCGAGACGAAAGTTGAAATTTCGAGTTTTAAAGTCGTAATTTCCAAGGAACAACTAATAAGAATATGTAGGTGTTGTTTCTTTCGGAAATATGCTCGGACACGTCGATTAGTATTTTAAATTGCCTTTATTTTAATGCAAAAAAAATATACAGTGTGTCTCAAATATGAGATATGGCGTCATCGATAATTTTTCAAATGACAACCCTGTTTTTTTTAATGACTTTTATTAAAGGGTTCAACAAGTTGCACATGCCTGCCAAGTTCCGTTTTGACAGCGGAACCGTGCTAACGTGTTTGAGCGATCGGGTATGTTTTCGTCAGTTTTCTGGTTAATGATCAGCCGTATTGTGGTGTTTCTGGCTTGTGATAGTGGTGCGTTGTGTTCTTTTGTGCAAGCAAAAAACGTTTTTGGTGAGTACGCTTGATTATATAATTTTTCGTTGCGTTCATCTGCTCAAAGCTTTGCTGTCATTTTTGCGTGAATAAAATGTCAAGCAGTATGGAGGAACTGCTTCGCAGTCTGGCTGAGAGGGACAAGACCGAGATCATTAGCATCGTTTGCCAACGAGATCCATCTTGATTTCATCCAGGTTTCGAGACCAGCTCCCCTACCCTTTTGGCTGATTGTTGGTCTTGAGAGGGACCAATGGGTTCATGACTGATTGATGACGGCAAAGCCAGAGGCTTTGACCCCACTTCCGTAACCTCTACCCATGGTCCTAGTACTGGTTACCAGAGACCAAAAGGACATCTTTGAGTTCAAAGACCTCTTGAGTGTGAACCCCAGCACCCCAAAGCTTCGGTGGATCAGTGCCACCGTTGCCAGCGTTTCGATCACTGCCAAAGGAATTATATGGCAGTTCCAATATGCGTCAAGTGCGGCACCTCACCAACGCCTGCAAGAAAGCAAGGACTAACCCCCGAAGTGCAATAATTGCAAAGGGGCACATACTGCCAATTATAGAGGCTGCCCTGAGTTCCCTAAGGCTCAGACGCCCAGAGGCAAATCAGCCAGAAAACCACCCCCCCCCCAGGTAGACCTGCGGGGTTTGGACGTGTCCAGGAAGGGGTTAGTTTTGCCAAAGCAGCATCCAAGGGTGCTAACGGCTCAGCAAAGCCTGCTCCTTCTCGATCTGTGCCCTCACCTCAGACCCAGGGGGCTTCAGACATCTGCGCCGCATTAGAGCAGATGAAGCAATTATTCGTCAAATTCCCCGTGCTCGAAAAAATGTTCACGGTGAATAATAACGTGCTAACCGGAACCGCCAATGTCTAGACAACCGATATTGCCTAGGTCTCTGAAGATAGTCTTTTGGAATGCCAATGGCTTTCTTCTTAAAAAACTAGATTTTGAGAATTTTCTCGTTGAGCCATAACATGGATGTAGCTCTAATTCAAGAGACGCATCTGAAGAACGAATCCATTGTCATTCCAAATTACAGATTCTACCATAGAGAACGTGTTGGACGTGCTGATGGGGGAGTTGGCATTTTTGTCAAACGATCCCTCCAGTGTATCCAATACGGCATTGACAGTGCTCGGTTACACGGAACTGAGGCCGTAGGGGTCGAAATTCGACTGAGTCGGAGTTGCACAGATTAATCTCTGTCTACATCCTTGCGAGAAATATTTTACTCCCAGAATCACTGGATGAACTGCTGATGGGTAGCGATATTCCGACAATTGCTGCTGGCGAATTCAACGCCAAGTACGGACTATGGAGCAGAGCCACCAATCGAAACGGCCAAGCAATCCATGCGCATACTGACAGACATGAATATCTCGTGCTGGGACCGGATGAACCTACGTTCTCTCTCGGGCAGTATAGGCCTGACGTACTGGACATCGCGCTTCTCAGAAACGTCTCTCTGACCAGCGAAATTTACGTTCAGTCGGAACTGGAATCCGATCATAATCCAGTAATCCTGGTATTGGGCAATGATCTTCCTTCCCCTGATTATCGCACGTCTTCACAGCTCAGCTCGGAGAGATGCGCGCCCCTCCTGAGGCTCTTCGCTCTCCCGACGAACTCGACGCGGCAGTTCAGCGCTTCGAGTCTTCTGTGAATGATGCTTTTCGGACGGCTGAAGAGCTATAATGAGTTTCCCCTTCGTATCAAAGCCTTGATACGAGAGAGAAATCGCCTGAGAAGGCTCTATCAGCGAACCCTCTTCCCAGAGGACAAAACATCGGCAAACAGGAAGGTCAATCAAGTAAAACAGGCCATCATTGATCACCAAAATGAAAAGTGGGAGAAGCTGTTGGAAACCATTGAGCCTGGGAGTGACGAGCTTTGGCGAATCACTCGTAGGCTCAAGAGAAGAAGACTGCTCCTTCACCCATTCACGGAGAGCGCGGAGTGTGCTACTCCCACGCCGATGAAGCGTTTCCTTTTGCTGACACGATGGAACGTCAGTTCCAGCTTAACGTTGACGACAACGACAACATCGACCGCGATATTCTGCTGGAGGATCGGGTTCACCGCATCCTCAGGGAGGATGACGACGATGTCATCCGTCCGGCTTCTGTGGAAGAACTAAAGGGCTATATCAGGGCCGCAAAGGCTAAGAAAGCTCCAGGGGTCGACTCAATAACAAATAAGTTATTGAAGAGGCTCCCGGAAAACTGCGTCGAATACCTTCTGAGCATAATAAACAGCTCGTTGGCCCTCAGACACTTCCCCGGAAGGTGGAAGTATGCGATCGTCGTTATGCTCCCAAAACAGGGGCAGAACCGGCTTTTCCCGCAGAACTATCGCCCGATTAGTCTGCTCTCGTCGGCGGCTAAGCTGGCTGAAAGAGTCGTACTTCAAAGGCTTAACGAAGAAGTTGAGGACCGAAATGTTCTGCCTGACGAACAATTCGGTTTCAGGAGAGAGCATTCCACTGAGTTACAGGCTCTGAGACTGGTCGAAAATACCATCGCGGAGCTAAACCGAAATAAAAAAGTTCATCTAGTCTTATTAGACATTTCAAAGGCCTTCGACCGTGTTTGGCACGAAGGCCTTCTACACAAACTAATTGCGTTCGACCTGCCTCGAGGCCTGATCCGATGGATTGGGTCTTTCCTGAAAGACAGAACAGTTCAGGTTTGAGTAGAGGGTTCTCTATCTGATAACAGAGAGATCCTTGCTGGAGTGCCACAGGGGGCCGTGCTCTCTCCCACGCTTTATTCGCTTTACACCAGCGACCTTCCGAGGTCCGAACATGTGGAAGTATCTCTCTACGCCGACGACACGGCTCTCCTCTCGTCTTACATGGGTCGGGAGCTCGGGATCGTCTATATGCAACGTGCATTGGGCGACCTCGAGCGCTGGTACCGAGAGTGGAAGATCCGAGTGAACCCGGAAAAAACTCAGGCGATAACCATGGGAAGAACGACATCTTCTCCGACTATGAAAGTGAGAATCTCTGGAAGGGAGATTGACTGGCAGACGCTGGTCAAGTACCTCGGTCTTCTAATAGACCGTAGGCTCACCTGGAACCCGCACCTATTAAGCGTGAAGGCAAAGATCCAGGGTCGGGTGGCAAGCCTGTACCCTTTGATCAACAGAAAATCTAAGTTGAGCCTCAAGAATAAAATCACGATATATAACACGATGTTCAAGTCTGTCATCATCTACGCTTCAGTCGTTTGGGGACAAACGGCTACGACCAACATCTCCATCTTGGAGACTTTACAAAATAAAATTCTACGGATGATTGTGAATGCTCCGTGGTTCGTGCGGAATGAAGCCATCCGCAGAGATTTGAAGCTGCCTTCTATTCAGCAGTCCATCCAGTCGAGGAATCGGCGAGTTTTAGATTGCGCTGAAACTCACGATAATCCGTTAGTCAGGGAAGCTATAGATTACGCTGTAGACGACTCCTCTCGATATAGAAGGCTCCGACACTCTGTCGAATGAGGCCCCGATGTCCTCCGTTAACAGATGATTAATATCTTCATCCACCTCACCCCAGCCAGGTAGGGGTACACCGTGAAGGGCGGTATGGATATCTAAGGACTTTCATGCCACCATCACAGATTAGTCATGACCCATTCGTCCCTCTGACGAAAACCAGCCCAAAGGGTAAGGGAGCAAGGCTCCAGCCTGACAGAAATGATGATGACTACCGACATGCCTGCCAAATTTCAATTTTTTACTCCTTGTCCTTCAAAAGATATTTAACAAACATTATCTAATTCAAAAAATGAATTCAATTCAATAGTATTTCTTTAACAAGTGTTCAAAATGTTGTTCATTTACTAACTGTAAATACTCTAGATGTAACTGAAATTCGTTTTGAACATTTCTTATTACTTCGCCGGAAATTAGCCTACGCTCCTGTCTTATTCGTTCTTTTAAATCCTCAATATTTGTCGGTTTGGTCTTAGAAACGTTGCTCTTCGAGTAACCCCATAAGAAAAAGTCCAAAGGTGTTAAATCTGGAGACCTAGGTGGCTATTCATAGGGTCCTCTTCTGCCAATCCATCTGCCTGGAAATATATCATTCAGGTACTCACGGACAGGTCTTGCAAAATGAGGAGGACAAGGGAACAAAATAGCCAAATTCGGAACTAGGTCCTCCTGCAAGAATTCTAAATATCTTGCTCCAGTAAGATTTTCTTAGAAGAAAATCGGTCGATCACCAACAATCTCTGCCCAAAAATTGACTTTTTCTGGATGTTGAGTGTGGCCTTCGCTTATCCAGTGTGGATTTCTGTCTGCCCAATAACGACCATTTTGACGATTTACCACACCATTCAACATAAATGTTGATTCGTCAGAAAATAAAAAGTTTTCTTTTTGTACAACAATCCTGTCTAGTAGATCCATCATTTGTTCGCAAAACTGGAGTCTTCTATCTGGTTCATCTTCGGTGAGTTCCTGGAGGATTGTTATTTTATATGGATGAGATTTCTCAGCTTTAAGAACTCTTGCCACTGAAGACTAGCTAATTTCGAGTTCCCTAGCTATCTGCCTAGTGGGGACATGGGGATTTTCTTCGACAGAGAGAAGAACATTTATTTTGACCTCTTCACTGAGCGCACTCCGACGATGATTATTTGTTTTTCTCAAATGCCCATTTTGCCGGAACTGTTTTTCGATCTTGCTTATACGGTACTTCGCGATATGGGTGGTAAATCAGGATACTTCTCTCTGAATAAATGGGTAACTTCATTTTGTGTTCTTGTTCTATCTCCGAAGCCAATCGTCATTAGAATTTCAATCTTATGTGTTTCAGTTAAGTACGGTATTTTACTAATGGCGAACAACAAACTGTGAAACGACTAACAGTTTTTGTGCACAAATATGATTGGAATGCGATACTACTCTCCTTACTTTTTTTGGATAACTTTTTTATGACAATGTCACTGTCAGGTATCCCTGAGATTCTAAGCATTTATTGAAGGAAGACTATAGAATTGAATTCATTTTTTGAATTAAATAATGTTTGTTGAATATCTTTTAAAGGACAAGGAGTGAAAAATTGTAATTTGGCAGGCATGTGCAACTTGTTGAACCCTTTAATAAAAGTCATTGAAAAAACAGGGTGGTCATTTAAAAAAATTATCGATGAAATCATAATTCATATTTGAGACACACTGTATAATTTTTTTTGCATGAAAATAAGGGCACTTCAAAATACTAATCGACGTGTCCGAGCATATTTCCGAAAGAAACAACACCTTTGATTTAGTGAATTTGTTCCATGTTAGAGACTCACACTGTATAGCCTTTTTGTGCTTCCGCAATTTAAAGTAGGTACCTACATTTTGATAATGAAAACAATGCATCAAGTTTCTAAGCATTTTAAAATCGTCAGCATACAGCAAGCAGTCTGATGGCAATTAAAAAGAGCGATGCGCAAAGGTTGAATTCTTGGGGTAGGTACTCCCGACCCTGTGCAAACACATTTTAGATTTTTCTCCCCTATATAGGTGGCATGCTGTATTCTTTTCTTTGAATATGAAACAAAAAAGTTATTAAATGATTACTGAGTCCGTAGTGTTTCAACTTTGCTATTGATGTATCATATTAAGTAATGCAATCTAAGGGCCCACGTTTACCTATACACTGATTTGAATAATTTTATCATCCACCTACTTCCAAACCAGCTCGTCGTAACAAAGTCATACTTCATTTGGCTCAAAGCTTAGTAGAAAACTCATTCGAGTTTAATCTGAACTTTGGCATTATATCTTGACAATACACCACAAAAATTAATTACACATTTGTAAATAATACAAGCTTTCTTCACTATCAGACGCTATCAAATCATCAATGCCCAATAACACAATTGAATAGAACTGGCCAATATTTGATGAAAACCCATATTAAAATTCATTAATAAGGTTTATTGTTACAAAAACCGCGACTTGTGTTTTGCTATACAAGTTTTTATAAAATACTAGCTACCGGCTCCGCACAGGTGCAATGCTAATACTAAATAAACATATAAACACATGCATCGCTGCTAATCATAAAGTGCTATAGTGCGAAGCGCGGCCTCCGACGCGCTATTTATAGGCACGCGCCGCCGGCTCCCCGGCCGGCACCGCCGCAACCGCTATGTTCCTGAATTTCAAATCTGTAATATCTTCGAAAACTATTCATTTGAATTACATGAAAAACAAAAAGGTCTTTCAAACAATGAAAGTGATCACTCTCTCAATTCCACCTAAGATAATTTCAACCCGAGAAGTGGGTAAGTACACTGAATTATAGATTGCTCAGCGAAGAAATTGACAAGATAAGTCATGGTTTCAATTTCGGCAACAAAAAAATATAGTAGATTTGTTGTTCTCTGATTCTGGGACAATCACTGCAGTTTTAAAGCATCAATTTTTTTAACTGTAAATTATTCTTGTTTACCTTCAGGTTTAAATTTTACACACCTTAATATAAGTACTCACCCCTATTATCGAATGAATCATCATCAATATTAGCTCCATTCATGAATCCCCAGTTTGTTCCTCCATGGAACATGTACATATTAACAGATGCTCCAAAGCTCAAAATTTCCTCTAGAACTTTTCCAAATTCTTCGGCTGTTCTGGTATGATGCTTTTCTGTCCAATGGTCGAACCATCCCGTCCAATATTCCATAACCATCAAAGGTTTATTCGGTTGAAACTCTTTCAAAAGGGTCAACTCATGTGTAGCTCCTTCTTGAAAATTTGCAGTTGCCAGCACTCCAGGTAAGGTCCCAGAAAACCCGTTTGTAGGGGTATCCGAAGTATAAAGTAACTCAACAACCCCATTTTGCATTAACAGTTCTTTCAGTTTTTCCAAATATGCTGTCTCAACAGGTTTGTTGCCGTATTTAGTGTTTCCGTATTCATTTTCAATCTGCACGGCGATAATGGCGCCACCTTTTCTGAACTGGAGGGGGGTAAGAAGCTCAAAAAGCTTTTTAAAGTATCTCTCAACAAATTCGATGTATTGTTTATTGGTTGTTCTCACTTTGATATTTTCATAACGCAGTAACCAACTAGGCAAACCGCCAAATTCCCATTCTGCACAAATGTATGGTCCTGGGCGAAGGATCACAAACAAGTCTTCTTCTTTGGCTAATTCAATAAACTGTACGACGTCAAGAAAGTCCTCGAAATCACTGCCACCGTTTCCAAAGTCGAAGACGCCATTCTCGTATTCGTGTAAATTCCAGGGAACGTATGTCTCCACTGCATTCAGTCCCGCTGCGCGATATTTCCTCAGCCTGTCTCTCCAATAAACTTTCGGAACTCTAAAATAGTGAAGTGCGCCACTGAACAGAGTTATGTTTTTGTTATTTAATGTGAAATAAGTTTGATTATCGCTTAATCCCGTCTTTATACCACCGGCTGTGTAATATTGATACAAAGTTGGCAAATTATCAAATGTCGCACAGTCCGCCATGTCGATAAACAACACAAATAATATTTGACTGGCAATAACTATAACGGAGGTTTTTATTGCGTTGTTTGGTCTACAATTTTCCGAAAAGGCACCGTTTTTTATTACATAAAAGTTGCTGTCTCGCTGTTTGGCCCTGTTGTGATTTTTGATCTGAAAGAACCCATTATTTTCAGAGGTTCTTTGCTTCCGTAAGCAAAGAGCAATTTTTTTTGGTTCCTGACTTGATCCCAGACCTTAACTTTTTTTTATTTCAGTTTAGCCAAAGTTTGATCAACCAGTATATTACTCTTACTTCAAGAGTCAATCAGTATATCAATGGCAACTCCCCCAATATTACACGCCATAACACTGTCATTGTCGATTTGAAAGACATAATCGATTTCTTCCTCCTTCGCAGTATCTTTTGAAGAATTGTCGGGTATGTTTTTCCTGATTTCGCTGGCCTACTGTGACCTGAGAAATTGTTATGTTGGCGTTTCTTTGGATTGGTTCGACAGTAATATTGATAATGCCCTTTGTACCCGCATTTACTACATGATTTCAACCTAGCGGGACACTTTATAGAATTTGAAGGATGATTTCCTCCACAACGGGAACAATGTGGTTTACCTCACCATCTTTGATTTGAGGTCAACAAAACCTTCTAACTGTCTATTGACAGTTTCCAGAGCGTTGGCTTCTACAATGATTCCATCGAGATTTATTGCATCACCAGTGGCAAGAATGTTTTTCCTCAGTTCTGCCGATGTACATTTCTCTACGATTTGATCTATCATGTATTTACCCACATTAGTAAATTTACACTTAGCTCCTTGGTTTCCAAGTCAAACCAAAAATTTTTCAAACTTTCCCCCTTGATCTTGCTTTGTCAGACGGAAAAGATGACGTTCATATATATTTGACTGCTTTGGTTAGAAGTACTCGTTTAAATTATCAACTGCTATTTTGTTCACATCCACCTCTGCATCATCACTGGGTTGCATATGTGCCCTCGGGAAGGGCACATATGCAACCCATTTTGCGGTCGGATCGACCAAACAATTGCAGTCGCATTCCAGCGAACTTAAGCCGCCCATAAGAAATACTATACTACACGTACACGGGCGTTCACAAAAGTCAAAACGGGTGTCTGCAGTCAACTTGCTGCTGATCTCCGCCGAGATGTCATCGCGGCATCCGCCGTACAGTAACCACAAACTTGCAGTCGTACCCAACCACGTACACTGTCGTGTACTTTTTGTCATATTAGTGTCACAGATTTTTTATTTCAAAATTCTAATTAATTCATCAAAAGAACTAATGGACATTCTGAAGAAATTAAAACATTTTTTTTCGTCTTGCCAGAGTTTACCGGTTGTTGCTTGTATGTTATTTCATTGTAATTTCAGATTTTTGCTTAATAAAATTGGTTTGTCTGCTAATCTTTTGCAGATTCTTTCAGGGATTTCAAATCAATTCATATCATATTAGATAATGGAAGTCTAAACTGATGAAATGCACCACGACACATTGTCAACTACCTTCAAACAAAATATAAAAATTTCCTTCCTGTTTTGTCGCGCAACCAGAAGTGGATGTACCCAAAACGATCGTACCTTCCTGCATATTCTCCTTCTCCTCAAAATAAGAAGTAGTAGTGATTCTTCTTCGAAATCCATATTGAAACTGGCACTAAACTACTCTGACACCACAAAATGTAAATGTCAGTTGGCTCCAAGTGCAAATGCGGCTTATATGACCGCAAGTCGACCACAAAAATGTGGTTGGGTCAACCGCGAAGTGCAGTCAACGTGGCCACAATGTTGTGGTTGCTTAAACTGCAAATATGTGGTCCGTGTACGGCCGGACTAACTCCAACAGAAGCTGACTCGCCTTCACATTCAAAAGGTTGAATGGCAATAAGGTTTGCCATGTTGTGGGTCACAAAGCCCTGTGACAAAATTCCACTTTTACAGTTTGAACATAATCAAACAATGCACATACAGGCCAATACCCCCTAAAGTTTGACTAGTTTATCTTTTGCCTTATCTTTGCCTTATCAACACATAGCACCATTTTCAAAATAGGTGCTAACACGTATGTCTACGATGTCAGCTGAGACACATTGGCATTTAAGAATCTAAGAGAATAGGAGATAAAGAGAGATTAGTAGATTAGACGGACCTGAACCTATCATTGGCATCGCTTTAGGCTTTGTCAAACAAACATTGAATACCTGGATGGCAAGAAGATTTATGTACTTCTGGCAGAATCGTCCAGGATTAGCTCACTCCAAGGCATTTATTTGTTCACCCTTTGAAGCTTGATACCAAACAGTTGTTGGACTACAGTAGAAATGAACTACGATGCTTATAGGCCTTGTTACAGGTTACTGATTTGAATCATCATATGCAGAGACTCGGACTATCGGAAGACAGTGTGTGTCGCCTCTGTTTGGAAAATGATGAAACTTTGTGCCTGCCCCGCTGGGGACCGATTTTTTTTCTTGAGATGGATGCCCTTGCCAACTCGCAATCATTTGAAGATACTCACGAATCAAAGATGTCAACAGCAATTATGGAGCATATTATTAAAAGCTAATTTATATGCCAAAATCAAATATCCATCTCTCGAGCATTTGAATAGCTGTTTAGATGTTGAACTCTCGTCTTACGATCTCTCGCCCTCCAGTAGGGGAGACTGGGTACGGTTGAAACAGTTTAGCATTTATCGTTCATAATTTTGTTGTTTATAAACCAAGTGACTATCATGTTACGTGATATGGCTGTATCATTATAGTTCCCGGGATACTATTTTTAGAAATATATGAACTACCAGGGGCGGTTGAAACAGCGATTGGGGCAGTTGAAACACATACAAATAATACAATAAATACTAATGAAACATGTTTGTTTTGTCATAATGGCTGTGGTATACATTTTATTTACTTTATACATTCTATACATTTTAATGTGTTATGACAAAACTTTACATTTGTCTTTTGTATTACTTTTTTATGTAGCTGACTAGTCCGATATATTTCTTGCAGGATGTAAGTAATTTCTATTGTTTACATTCGTGTATGAATTTTGTGGATGAAATAAAGATTATGATTATGTGTATGGAGTTGAACCTCATAACGATGAGCAGCCACAGTCCCTCGGGTATGTCTGATATGTACCGCTCTTGGTGGAGTCAAATGTGCCAAGTCACTCGAACGCTTCCCGTAAAAGTATCTATGGAAGAGAGACAAATCCCCAACCTTTCTTCGATGTTCCAGACTATCAAGGTTGCAAGTAATATTCACGTCTCCAATCAGACGGATGGCTCTTTTCACAATGGAATCCAGCAGCTTCAGAGTATGCTTAGGGGCGGAGCTCCATACATGTGAACAATACTCCAAATAAGGTCTGATCTGAGCTTTATACATCATCAAAAGTTGCTGAGGTGTGTACAGTTTTCTGGTTCGGAACAGTGTTCTAAGTTTTTGAGAAGCATTCTTTGCAATTCCAGCGACATGATTGTGCCAACAATTTTATAGAAGCAGACAGTGGAATTGACTGTCCTGGGTTTTTGTGGCATTGGATTGAATCTGGTTAGTTTCACCCTAATTTGAAATCACTTCTAGATCCTCATCAAGATATGCAACCTCCTGCTGCCGGTGAAGATGTGCATCAGCAACCAATGTCCTGGATTCCAAAAGGAATTACAAGAGAAATGTGCTACTGTCAGCAATTTAATATATTGGAATCTTCAATATCAAGCACAACAGCTCTTGACTCTCCATGTTTCTTGATCGCGTTATTCCAAATATGGGTGACATACGATAAAAGGTCGCCTGTTGATATTTGTTTCCGAAAGCCATATTGATGATCATTCAAGATGTTAAAGCCTTCCAAATATTCAAGGATATAGAGGTTTACGGCTTTCTCCATGAACTTTGATATCACTGATAGCAAAGCGACTGATCTTATAGTTATTTGGAAGATTTTTCTTGCCCTTTTTGGGAATAGGCTAAACGCGAGCAATATTTCAAACAGAAGGAAAAACCCCTGCAAAATACTGGTGCGAGTTCATTTGCGCATTTTTTAAGTACGATGGCGGGGACTTCATCAGGACCAGGCAGACTTCTTGTTGATATTAAGCTGTTTCAAAATTCACCTGACTAGACGTTGTCGAAAAGTAATTTCTGGCATCATGTATATGATTGAATTGGAATAAAAGGCTTATCATTATTATTATTATTATCATTATTGTTTGTTATGCTACCTGAAAGGTGAGATGAAATAAGTTATGTAGGTAGGTAAATCCACAGTTAGTGGATGCAAGATTCCCACCCTAATGATTACAACAACCTTCCCATATGAGGGCATGTGTCAGCTATAACTGCTTCTGCTGCTCTAAAATTCGATACAACGCAGATTCACCAGATGTCCCGCTCTAGAGGAAGTGATAAGGCTCTTCCTGACTGCAACATCTAGCCTCAAATTAAAATTGATTTTTTCTTTCAGAGAACCTTTCGGGTATGAAAATTGTCACAACACATGACTGATTGCAACATCTAGCCTCAAATTCAAATTAATTTTTTCTTTCAGAGACGTAGTTAAGTTACAGATAATACAAATATATATCATATCACAAAAATACGGGAATGTTATAAAATAAAAAAACATTATTTTATTCGTTTGGACAGAGGGATATTTCATAACAAATGGATTCTTTTTATGACATGCCTAGAAAAGCCCCTACACCAACAAATATTGAAAAGGTGGGATATGTATTTTATGTTATATGTTAAATAATTTTGCTTTTTCTAGTGCTTAATAGGACCCACTGTTCCTGAAATTTCGATGGTCTGCACTCCTAGTGCTTCGTCTAAGGATTTTGATACATACAATGCATGGAAAAATAGTCAACAAAATTCATCACAGGGAACTAATATATTGACATCTACAGCAGATAATTTCAGCTTTCCTCGCAAAGGACCATTTTTCATTGGTCAAAATCAACAACTGAAGGGTTCTCAAGACTCTTCACAATTTTTAAAAAAACAAGTCAGATTCGAAAGCCCACCATTACAGCAAAGACCATCCCTCTCTTATGAACCATTTGTGTCGAGGAAAGAGCTTCAGAACCAACAAAATAAATGTTTTATGGATTCTGTAAAAAACGGACAACAAAAGTTGTGTGCCGGCACTCCTAATGCTTTTGAACAAATTTATATGGCGAACGTACCTAGCAGACAACTCGATTTGAGTATCATTGAATTGCCATCTTTTCCAAAAAAAAAAGACGAAATAGTGGAGAGGGAAACACAAGCCGAGCAACAAATTTCTTGTCATGATTGTAATGAAACAGTTGATGGAAATGTTAACTTTGATAAGAATAAAGAAAATGAGTTACCTAAAACATACAAGGACTTTTTAAAACTGCAGAAACATTCAACAAAGGAAAGGTATTGTCCTAATGATTCTGTAACAGATATTTTCAACTATAAACGAAATCAATATTCAAATATGTTGAAGGAGACTGAAATTTTTAAGAATACTACAAACTTACAAGAAGTACAAGATAAAAAATTGGATAATGTTGAGAATATGAATTATCGTGAGAAAATGTATAAAAACCAATTTAGGGACCACTACTGGTTAACAGAAAGTGACAGAACTAGAAAAGCTATCGAACAGGTACCTGAATATCAAAATCAAGAAATGAAAAATATCAACTTTCCTAATGTATATAATTCCACAAATCAGCGGTATGATAGAGGGAATGATACTGAAACACAAACTGATAATTCATGTGAACTTCAGACAACTTCTGTTTCAAAAGTCAGTAATGACTCCGAACCCAGCACTAAAGACCTATTGAAAATCATTGCTCAACAAAATGAACAGCTTCTGCTTTTACAGAGTCAAGTTGCTTTGCTCTTAAACAGGGATCAAAATCAAACGAAACCAATTGAAGATGTTCGTCAAAAGGTTGACTATGTTGGGGAAAAATGTGTAACCAGTACACAAAATGAACCTTTTAGACAAGAAAACTACTGCAGTCCCAGAAAACGCGGATTGTCTAAATTTTCAATTGATTTGATGACCAGTTTTGAAGTGGCAATAAGACCCCAACAAAAGCAAAATTTTATCAATTGTGAACCTAAAATACAGGAAATTACAGAATCTGATAATGGAACTAGTAATAGAGAAATAGAAAAAAATGATAAAAATATGTATCGATCTTTGCATCTAGGAGAACCTGTTGTAGTACAAGAGTCTTGCCCTAGCCCTGAGCCTAGCATAAATATAAACATGAATGACTATGATAGTTCTGAGTGAGTATGTTAATCATATGTATCATATGTTGTTAATTAACATCAACAGTTGAACCTGCTCAACCTCAATTTTGATTAAAAAACTCTCAATACTATATTACAATTGTTACCATACTCTTCATCATAGTATATGGAGCATAAAATCTCAAGTAATAATTATTCTGGAGTGTGTTTCATTTCCATGATGAACAGATGTTCTTGAAAATTCAATCCTTACAAGTGGAAACCCTCAGAAGTCGAAGCTTGTGTCACCTAAGGATTATCGAGGTTCCATTTTTTAACCTGCGATTTCTAGCATGGAATGAAATACAATCACCATTAGAAAGAAGAACCAAATTTTAATAAATGTGAAGATCTGAACTTTGGCATTATATCTTGACAATACACCACAAAAATTAATTACACATTTGTAAATAATACAAGCTTTCTTCACTATCAGACGCTATCAAAAATCTGTAATATCTTCGAAAACTATTCATTTGAATTACATGATGTAAAGGGCCGTATTGATCTATAATAAATGCACAATGTATTTCACAGTACTTAATCGGATAAGTATTAATGTTGTATTGCTTAAAATCGCTTCATAAATAAGCCATTATTTCTCGTAGGGTTCAGCTAATGTTTGCTATGGAAGCGCAAGAAAATGTGTTTATTTACATCACATTAGAAACCTCTAAAATTATCAGTGTTTCTCTACCACATTATGCATGTTATATACATATAAACCTTTGTCTTGAATCACTCTATCTATTAAAAAAACTCGCATCAAAATTCATTGCATAGTTTTAAAGATCTAAGCATACATAGGGACCGACAGTGGGAAGCGACTTTGTTTTATATTATTCCCTTTGAACCTTTTCGAGGGTGTATACATGCAACTATCATCAAACCACTTATTGTAGGTATATTGCTATAATTCAATCCTTTCCAAATTATGCTCCTCCCATTTAATCACCTTTTTATCAGTTGCATATTAATAGAATCGATACTATACAGATTAGGTTTTTAAAGTACTGCTGCTATAACAGTCATATCCCAAGAGTATTACTGTACTCATTTCCTGAAATTTCCAAATAAACTCTACTGGACACTGGCATAGTCATACTAATAAACTCTACACGTAGAACAGAGTTTAGAATAGAGTAATTTTAGGTTTTCCCAACCAAGAGAACTAACTATCCACTGCTGATCTGACACTTTTAGAAGACAAATTCAGCATACTTGCTGAAGGTATAAACTTCACTATAACTCCAGCTAAAGTTCCCTAGAGGTTCTTACTTTTTGCCTAACGACATTGCCGAGGAAATCCGCATCGAAACATCCGGAAGTCAACTGGGTGCAAAACCACCCAAGGCTAACATAACATGAGGAGAAAGAGAGGCACAGAAAATTTTCAATAATAATAGGGATATCATGATATTGCCTGCCGACAGGGAAAGTTATTGTCGTGATTATAAAGAGAACATATAGGGACTCAGTTGAAACACAACCACAGTTGTTTTGCGAAAAACAAATTTTTTCCGTTCAACAAGTCTTGAAGAGCCTAAAAAATTCCGAAGACCAAAATACTCTCTTGCGAAGCGCATTTCGTTAACCAAGTTAGCATCATCAAGCTGTCAACAGTCATCTCCTGATGAACTAAAAAATATGATTCTTCTTTCTTTTACCCTTTGTAAGGAGCTATTGTCTATTATAAGTGTGATATACTCTTCGAGTTCAAAATTTATTTCACAATTTTCTGAAAATTCATCATGATGTTTTGCTGTTGATGTGACATGTATAAAACACAGGTTGTCTCAAAGTTCAGTATTAGGGGTATTTTTATTGTACATAAATGAGTCGTTTAGTTTCGAAACCAGATAAGTCACTTTCAACAAATTTTTCAGGGCATAAAAAATTAATGAATTTGCTAATGACCACTGTATCTTTGCTAACGACCACTATATCCTTCAATGCTTCAACATATGAAATCGCTGTAGAGGAGTATCCAGAGCTGCAGGAGAAATGAAAGTAAAACGATAGGGAATATTATAAATTCAACTAGGAATATTAATAAATTGCTTCAATTGGTTGGGGTTCTGTCCCTTCTATACTTCATAGTTTGCGTTTTTGTGTTTTTAACCTATGAAAATATTACTTGTAGTTGGATGAAATTATTGACTGCTCTATTCAAAGTTCAATATGTTCTCTAAATATTATTCTGAAATTGTAGGGATTACTTTTCAACATGATTTTTTATTGATTGAATCAGATCCGTCATACATCCGTCCAGCACACATTTTCAAATCATTCTATTTAATATGTCTATTCTATTTATGTTTGTAAAAACATCCTATATTCAATACAGTTTTTTTTTTAGCGATGAAGTGTCTGCTTCTGAAATAAGTGCCACGTTTTACAACAACCTAATGGTAAATTGTAATCAAAATATTTTTTTTATTCTTAATCATTTGTTTAATAGGATCAAGTGAATAACATTTTAAAAAAAGCCCAGATTGAAACAAGAGATGACTTAGTTTACAAACAAGAAATGAAAAGTGATAGGAATGCAATTAAAAACAATAGAACTATTCATAGAGTTAGAGAGGCGACCCTTAAGCACTTAAAAAATATTGGTGTTACCATAGGGCCAATGGATGACTTTGAGAGTTCTACAAGGTAAATTCCATAAATGAAATACAATAGTTAAAGCTAATAAAATTGTTTTTCAGTGTAGAACACGATGAAAAAAACTACAATCCCACTGAAATCAGTTTTGCTGTCAAACAATTACTAATGAAATATTTACCAGATGATCAACTTGCTAGATTATCACACAAACAAGAAAAATCTCCAGAAAATGATAAACAACATGGAATTATGACTGCTCGTCCAGAATTTTCATTAGCTAGTGTTCAGTACATGAAAAAGTATAATCTTATTCAATCTGAAGGTGAGTATTTGAAATTAGCTGGAAATAAGTCAACTTGTGAAAGACATTGTAGAATTCTTAGAACTTTACGTAGGTATCAATTGCCATGAATAGAATATTTTCTCATTAACATTCACTCTTAGCATAAACATAAAATAAACAATTATTACATCGAAATATTTTATGCGATGAAAATCCATAACATATTAAAGAAACACTTTATTGTTACATTTTCAGCTGAACAGTTTTACAAAAATGCAACAAGTGTTTTGCAATTTAAAAGCTTTTTCATGCGTGTCTCAAAAANCAAATTGAGGAACATTCCCCTTTGCAGTGTTGTGAATGTCATTATAAATGAACGTCATTATAAATTAACGGGCCGATAATTCTACCCTAAACTAAATCAAAATCTTCCTTGGCTTCTCTGCTCCACAATAGAATGAGGATTTTGTTGTGCCCAAGTACAAGAATTTTAGCGGTTGAAAATGCCGGAACTGCTCACATAGCATCGTCTGTCTAAATACAATTTTACGAAAAATCACTTACGTGGTTACAACTTTCCAGGAACCACTGGCAAAAAAGCCATGCACAAAAAGCCATGTGGCTTTCAAAATCTCCTGATCTGAGTTGATGAACTTTTCTGGTCCTGTATGGTTTGAATTTTTGTTTTTTCCAAATCCTCCTAACGTTAGTTTTTGGTAGGCCTGTTGATATTATAATAAATCTGAAGCTGGCCCTGACCGATGTCCCAGTCAGCAAACGCATGACGCATCGCGAAACAACGCGAAAGGTCCGGATGGGTCCCAAAATCCGCAGAGAGATCCGGAACGTTCGTTGACGGTATAAAAAGGTCGCTCTCCGTCCCGAGGAGAGTCTGTATCTAGAGAGCGAATCGAGCGGTGAAGATAAATTAGTGGAGATAAATTAAGCTAAGTGTTGTATATAAATTAGTTGTGAAAGTGAAATATTGTAAAAATAAATTTGTTTAGGACAGTTAATTCGTTACAATATTTTCAAATTTCGGGTTGACGATTTGGGATTATTTTCAACAGCTCTTAAAACGACAATTTCTTCCAACTCCTTATCCCTGTTTGATTCGTATAATACTTCATCGCGAATGTGTTTGAAAATTGAACAAAAACTACTAATTGAAAAGCGTTTTGACTGGAAAAAAGTTACGGCAACTTTTCGAAAATGCACATTTTTGAAAAGCATGCTGTAACTCAGAAATGATGATAGATATTGATATGCGGTTTTCACCATTAAGTTTGTCATAAAATTTGACCCTCAGGCACAGCCATCAGTTTTCATCTATTCAGTTTGAGAACAGGAGTTTCCCTTCAAAAGTGTCCAATTTGGCCTACTCTGTAGAACCAAACATTTGACTGCATTATTTATGCATTATATATTTGTATATAAATACTCATTGATTGTGGCACAGGAGTTTGAAATTCTCGTATGAGTTTACATGCATACAAAGGTAAAGTAATAATTCATTATTTATAGATTTTTCGTCTGAAGTTTATATTGAGGCCACCTGCAAGAGGTATGGATGCAGCTGATTAACGGAAAAACACATTTTAACAGCTCTATACGAAGTTAATCTTGAATTGAAAATTCAATCTCGCTGTCCGCGATTAAATGATCCAATCCGTCAACCTTGATGAAGTTAGAACTGAGATATCCTTTCATAAAAACTGATTTATTACCTTAGATTATATTTTATGGAAACAGCAGATGGGAAGAAAATATGAAATTATACTGAATCATAGGGAGATAGTCGGTTTTTGTGTTGTCCTGTTAAATGCACAATTTTTACATAAGAACTTTTACCCTAACAGTAGAGATATGTAGGATAGCCAGAAGAGGTTAATATTTTGAATTTCATTCAATATACCAGTTAACAGTAGTTTAGACTGCTTACACTAATAAAATAATTTCAATTTATACATTCTATTTTCAAAAGTGAGGTAGTGCCCTTTATAGACTTTTTCTCTACTAAGCAGAAGACACAGGAACTGGCTTTTTTGCATGCAGAGGTTCATAAAGTTCTTACATAAGAGCCTGACATCTGGCAAATTAACCCCGTATACAGCGCCGTTCAATCACTTTCCGAACGAGCCGTAAAGTCGGGACGAAATCTCAGCCTTACGGTCTGGAAGATTGAACCGCAGGTACACGAAATGAAGGCTACAATCACGTTGGCGAGACAACAAGCGTCTCGTATCTAATGTGTGATGGATTACAGGGTGACCAACAGGCCTTTCACGCCCTCAATGCGGCGAATAGCTACCAAATTACGTTACGTTACATAAATGATACCCTAAAAATATAAACAACCAGCTTCCAATAAACTTTGCATATGAATAAGTGATAACAAAGAACTATATTATACAACTAATAATTCACGAATTTTGTTCACTTTTCATGAGGAACTATTGAGAATTTTTCTTATAAAACAATACCAAGGCTCAATATTTTCCTTGAGATCAAGAAATATGAATTATCATCAAAGATTTAATTAATGACCATTAATCAAAAGTTCACAAAAAATGGCTTTTCATCTCCAAAATAAATCAAAACAATACAGAAATGTTCGTCTATTCTCCAGTCAATTAATCACCTAATTTAGTGTCCGACCGAAACTGGTTTTTATGACCGAAACCGAATTTCGGCAACGGTCTCAGTTCCGGCCGAAACCGAAACTTCCTTACAAGGATTATGTTTTGAGGGAAAAATAAAGAAAACGTTATTATAATCAGTCAGTCTTTATTTTTGTATCTTTAAATCACAACGTTATGCAGTCTTCGACATTTTTACTTATTGATAATCAACATAACAAACCCTTATTTAAGAAAAAATATTAATTGCACCTTAAAAATACTTAAAATAGGTGAGGTGTTTATTTGAATAGGTGTAGATTCTTCTTTTGAATATAATTAATAGCTTTTCAAAAATATTGAACATAAAATTACTCATTTAAGTTGTTACCTAATATCACAATATTTATGTAATAAAGTAAATCACAAAGTGAGTTACATGATTAGGCACGTTGACGCGGCAAAATGTATTCGTCGCTTGTATGAAATTCAACGCGCCGAACATTACCGATCACAGCGCAAGAACTCCCGAATGCAGTTTCGGTCGTAGTTTCGGCAGGTGTGCCACCGAAACCCGTTTTTTTGCCGAAACTCGAACGAAACCGAACTTTCGGTCGGACACTACTTAATATTTACATTTATGTTGAAATAAACTGTTACTTGCGACAGGTAAAGATGATTGTAGCTAACTATTGACAGGAAAAATTTTGGAATCAACATGATACAATTCAATTCAAAACTATTCAATTTCTTCATACACTGAAAGATTCTCCACATCCACAAGTTCCTTTTATATTGGGATTATTGAATACAAACTCAGAACTGAGCTTGTTCTCAACATAATCCATTTCTGTTCCTAATAATGTTAATTGAGCCTTTTTATCAATGAAAACTCTTACTCCGTCTTGAACAACTTCTTCATCCATTTTATCTGAAAAATGTAAACATTTATTAATGCTTCTCGATGTGACATTGGAATGGAATTTCACTAATTTTCAAAAATTACTATTTGGTAACTGCTTAATGCTATAGGCACACTTAAATTCTGATATTCTTATTTTTCTTAATTCATTTATCTTCTCTCAAATTTCACATCTTTTAACATTTTTACACAATGGAAGTCAAACCATTAACAAGAAACATTGTCCAACACAATCAAACAATAGACAATGTGCTTTAAAAAATATAATGAAATGGAGTGGATTCAGCTGGACAATGTTTTGCAATTTATATTGGCACAAAAATGGGAGATATCAACCCCTCACTGATCTAACTTTTGTTTTCTGAGCCAACAAACCATCTAGCTGACTTCACATACTTTTCTCACACACCAGAACTGTCATCCTTTTCTCAACATAATTCAGATCAATTTCTGGTGATGCCAACTTAATTGGTAAAATATGCATGTAAATTCTCTATCTTTCAAAAAGGAATTATTTTATTGGTTATTTGATTTATTGTCCTTCCATATGAACCAAGATAAACTAATAGATTAGATCAGAATTTTAAAAAAGCTGGTTATAAAAGTAGCTATCTTCTTGTTCTTCAACAAGTATTGTTTAATTGTAGATATGGGAAAATATATGTTTAAAATTATCTTCAAGACAGTTAAGGTCTGTTGATTATCTTATAATTTCATTCAACAGCAACATAATGGAACCTTCTGAAAATGCCAAATTTTCAGGATTATATGTTGACTCAAATATGAGGTGGGAAACAAATATGTATGTATATACATAATGAGAGAAACGGAGAATATATACTTTATTGTCATAAGAAAATATCTTGTTGACAGTTTCATTTAACCAATGAAATCAGTATAAGTCGTAAAAAATACATTTGAATTAAACAATATCACTTAATAATTAAAGTCAGTTTGTGTGTATACACAGGCCATTTCTTTTACCATGTGGTAAACATTGCTATATTCTAAACTGTAACAGATACGAAGATGATTAAATGGGAAAAAAGATAACTGTCATCAGGAACAACACAATGGTTGAAGACAATTTTTTGGGGACCCTCGCCCTTCTCGAGTTATACGGGGAAAACCAAAAATGCTGTTCTTCGTTTTTTCCAAATGGAATTATTATTTCGGAGAATATCAAAAAATGTAAAAAAATGTTACTGTATTCGAAGTGTACTATGACGATGTAATAATGCCAGAGGTTCTCGTATGAACTATCAAATTCCCCTATAGATTTATGTCAAAGTTCATTATTTTCCTGAGAACTCATTGAAAACTTTTCAATAAAAACCGTAATTACTGTACCAGATGTTGCAATTATCTAAGGCTTCCTAGTCATAACAAATCACTGTATAAGCATAGTCTGTTGTATATAGCAATAAAGTTTTTAAATTCTCATACCTCCAACTTTGAAAAATGAAACAAGTCGCACATTATTNTCTGGGGCTCTTCATCACAAATTGGTAAGACATTCATTTCACAGAAAAAAGTATTGAGAGCAATATTCAGAGCTCATCCACGAGAAACATGTAAACCTCTATTCCATCAGATTCAAGTCCTGACACTTCCATGCCTTTACATATTCCAACTGATAATGTATGTGAAAGAAAATGAATTTATGTTTGTCACGAATAGTGACATTCATGGACATAATACACGTCAAAAAGATTACATTCATGAATTATTTTCAAGATTATCGATGAGCAAAAACTCACCAAATTATATGGGCATAACATGTTTCAATAAAATAAAAACTTTTATTGATACGAATACTAGTAAAATGAGGTTTAAATCTCATTTGCATTCGTTTCTCTACAGCAATATGTTCTACACGGTGGATGAATTCCTTAAATTCTAAGATGATTACATATTAGCTCAAATTCAAATTAATTTTTTCTTTCAGAGACGTAGTTAAGTTACAGATAATACAAATATATATCATATCACAAAAATACGGGAATGTTATAAAGTAAACATTTAGAGAGAAATTTTTTCATGTTTGGGAATCTGGTTTGTGTGGGTTCATTCCTAATATGAGATATTTATTTGAATTATGAATCCTATATACATTGGATACAAAAACAGTAATTTCCTTGAAACTAAAAAAAATTGGAAATGTTTTGGCTTTCAACTCCTTCCTCCATCTATAGACAAAAATGTGGTAAACTGGCAAAGAAAGGAGAAAACAAAAGAATTTCGAAAGGAACTCTACAAAAATGTGTAGATCATGCACAGAAACTGGAAAAAGGCCCTTTCGAAACATCTGAATTGCATGAAAGAAAATATATTTTTGAAAACAACTACTTTTATATGAACATTGAATTATACCAAACACACTTTTTTCTTCTCAATTTGTACGCCAAACATTCGTCATGGAATACTGATTTCTAAAGAGATGCGGCAAGCAAACTATGTTCCTGGTAGTTCACTTATTCAGTACATCTACTGCAACCCTCAAATCAAGTTTACATTGGCTTTAACATATATCATTATCATATTTACATTCTCTAGATTTTCAATTTCAGGGTCAATATTAGTATCAGAATTAGTATGTATTTCATACATTTTATTACCAACAGGGGTTACCCATTTATGAATAAATATATATCCCTTGAATGAAATGTATAGTATAACTTGTGAAAATACCCCAGAAACATTCCACAACTTGTAAAATGTATTTGTAAGAAAACTTTATTATAGACAGGAAGTGGATGGTGAACATTTTGAACATTCATTTTGGGACAAAATAGAGAAGATTTTGAATAAATTTCTTATTGAAATGGCTGACGGATTGCAGATAGCCATGATGCTGTCTAGGTGGCTCAGGGAATTACTAACATTGCCTACCCAAAAAGACCAATCAAAGAAGTATTACATTATTTGAGAAAAAATTCATGGCGTTCTCTAGGTGCGAGTTTCATCACACTCTCTTTTTTTTATCAGAAAGTACTAGTGAATTTTACCCGATCTTGATACATTGTCCCATTCGAGAACTTTTTACGTCCACGTTATATATGTAGTTCACTGATACACATTACCTTTCTTTTCAGCATAGTCAAGGGTATAAGATAAGCCATTACATCCTCTTTGACGAACCCCAATTTTGAGCCCTACCTGAAATGAAGTATACATAAAAAATGTACTTGTCCTCACATGATCGATTCACTTACGTATTGATTTTTATCTTTCAAAATGTCTTTTATTCTCTTAGTGGCAGCAGGTGTCTGGAAAGAGTATTTTCTGTAAAATTATTGAGGTTATGTAATCACTAATCATAGACTTTATTGTTAATAATTTCTAAACTTACCAAAACTAAAGCTGCCCTCGAAGGTAACAGCTTTCGTTGGACAGCCCTTACTGTAGCTGTGGCTACACTTTTAGTTGCCATATTTACTAAAATATTTAAAAATCAATTCAGAGAATCAAGAAGCAATCAAATCCAAACTTCAAATTTAGAAATAATCTAATTTTCAAATGTCAAATGACAGTGTGTTCAATAAAAACAAAAAAGACAATTTGTACCAGGGGTGTGCAAAGAGGCGAATTCCTTTGAAATTTATTGCGTAAACTGAAGTAATTCGTATGTCAGACAACGTTCAACTAGAAACTAACTTTGGTTTTATATTTCAAACTTCGGATAAAACAATATTTGTAATAAATCAATTTTTATGAAAACTCTTTGTTACCGAAATATAGAACAAACCTGGTAAAAAGAAGATTATGGGGATTTTTATTTTTAGTCTGTGTTGGTAGAATTGGTAATATTTTTTACATATATGGGTGATGATTGGTGACTAAAATCTTTTTCTAAGGTCATTGCTTTATTGTCATAAAAATTGATTGTATATTTCACGAAATACTCAAGTTTGAATATACTGTTGTGCACTATTTAGAATAAGTTAAGATGAGCTTCCTTTTGTAAGTATTCATGCTCATTACTTTTCACTATCATGCCTATTTATAACAATCTTTCATTCTGGAAATAACTTTCCTAAATATCTCGTACAGTGGAAGCCGTTCTTCAAAAACATTCAAGCCAAAAAAGAATATACCTGAAGGGACCCATCAGTATGAGTTAATGAAACATGCTGCTGCGACACTGGGCTCTGGTAACTTACGATTAGCTGTTATGCTTCCTGAAGGAGAAGATCTCAATGAATGGGTAGCTGTGAACAGTGAGTTTAATGTATTTTTCTCATCAAAATTAAGTATCAAATCGGGATACTCGAATATTCATTCTGAAAATAAACATATTATCATTGATTGAGGAACATTATGGATTACATATCCAACCACATTACTTTTCAACTCACTCTATTGTAAATACTTCTCAACAATTATTGACAAGAATTGAACAAATATCCAAATGTTTTATTTCATTTTTTCCCACAGATTTGAATCTGTAAGACTTTTTAGACAATGTAGACTCTAACACCAAGAAAGTGTTTCAACCACATCAAAACAAAATAAATGTTCATGGTTTCTATTGTCTCAAATTCACTTTTTTATAGTTTATCTTTATCAGTAAGTTTTTCATCAATATCTATGTAAACTTACCGATCATGCAGTCATACAGTGTAATACTGCAGCACTGTAGTTTTAAACTTCTCCAGTCATTTAGATTCCCAATAAATTTGCCAACTGGCCATTTTTGCACTAAATTGATTCAAATATTATTAAATCTCAAGTTGCTGCTTATGAATCAAATTTCAATTATTGCTCTTCAATCTGACAGTGTATATTAATATATTTTAATATTAATGTAAGTCACAAAAAGAATTTGAAGCTTTATAACTTCTATTCAATTATCTGCGAGCGCTTTCGACAGCTGGTCGTGCTGTCATCATCTAGGCTCTACTCAAACTGAACGTTTTATCTTGTTGTATGTCCTTTTATACGGTCCGAACGCCTCAATGCAGGTACTCCAGGCATTCGGACCATATAAAATGACATAGAACAGGATGACACGTTCAGTTTGAGTAGAGCCTAGATGATGATAGCACGACCAGCTGTCAAAAGCGCTCGCACATAATTAAATAGAAGTTATAAAGCTTCAAATCCTTTTTGTGACTTACATTAATATTAAAATACTGAAAATAAAGGAAAATTAGTTGCATCATTCAAAATTAATATATTTATACATATATCATTACATATTTTATTAAAGCTGTTGACTTCTTCAACCAAATAAACATGCTGTATGGGACAATAACGGAATTTTGCACAGAAGATAGTTGTCCTATAATGTCAGCCGGTCCAAAATATGAATATCACTGGGCAGATGGACACACTGTGAAGAAACCAATCAAATGTTCAGCACCTAAATATATAGACTATTTAATGACCTGGGTACAAGATCAGCTAGATGATGAAACCTTATTCCCATCCAAGATAGGTATTTGAGCATATAAAAAAATGTGTTACCTTATTGCATTAATATTATTTTTTGCAGGTGTTCCTTTTCCAAAAAACTTTCAGTCTATTGCGAAAACTATTCTAAAGAGGCTCTTTAGAGTTTATGCACATATTTATCATCAACATTTTAGTGAAGTTGTGCAATTAGGAGAAGAGGCACATTTGAATACTTCTTTTAAACATTTCATATTTTTTGTCCAGGTTAGTTTCCTATTGAACCACTTCATATTTTGATGAAAATAAAAATTAATCACATCTTTCATCTCTGTTATATGTGGTCTTTCACAAAAATTTTCAAAATGAACTTCGAAATATACCCAAAAAAGGTTGATTCCACAAAATTCAAGAATAATAAAATCACCTGAAAAACTATGAACAGTCCTTAACAGATATCTATCATTTCAAATGTATTTTTTTACAACTACCTTATTCATATTATTTCATTTTTATCTCTGACAAAAACACCTCAGTAAAAAAAATTCTCAAGAATAATAATAGGAAGAAGGAGCATGTCTTGAATAATGTCAAAAATCGAACGAAACAATCAGATTAATAATGTAGATGATACAATACGAGCAACACTCAACTACAGTATGTACGGCGATCAACGAGGGAAATACATAAAACGCTGTTTCTGAATTCGATTTTTTTTTCTGTCAATATGTTTGTTCTGAGATTTTTTTACTAATATTTTACTGCTGAGATATTATCGACTGATATATTCGTTATCTTTCTATCTAGATTAATTTATAATTTCATATATTCTTCAAATTATTGTACATTGTGACATATCATTTGATAGTTTTGACACAAATTTTGACTTATCTATTTACTTGATCAGATTTTCAACATATTCAGGGCGTTTCTTAACGACATGTTAATAGTTCAGGAAATTTTCTGATCCATTTTGACGAAAAAACTTTCATGTATTTTAGAGGTCTTAGCTTATGAACTGCAAAGTTTTAAATTTGCAAGAAAGTTCCAACTGTGGTATGATCATAGATATGAAAAATGAGAAATTAAACTTTCTGTTTTTTAACTCTTTCAGTAACTATCGGACCACTTTCAGTAACTATAGACCACAACATTTTCAAACAAATACAATTTGTATTACTGAAATTGTATTATTAAATGAAATTTTCTATTTTTTTCCACTTCTATTTGTAACTATGTTACTGCAGTTTTGTCGTATATGGACATTTTCAAACTAATACAATTTGTATTTGTTGTTTGCGAAAAAAAACAGCAGTTTATAAGCATTTAATAATGTATAAAATGTCTTCCGATTTTACATGAAAAGACTATAAATCTCTACTTTTTGAAATATTTCTGACAAGGAATTGCCCATGTCTGTCTGTCCTGAGAAAAACATTGAGAAATGCATCTGATAAATTGCTGAATTAGTTATGATACTGGCTACCAAAACTCATGAAAAAACCAGATGACTTTATTGAAAAAATAATTGATAGAATCCAGTGACCGAAACATCACAGACAAAATCTAGTTTATACCAGATTATAATAAACATGAATCAGCATAAAACCTTTTTTTGGCCAATTTTCATATCCTTTGAAATGGGAGTGGTGGAGCTAACAAAAGAAATTCAATAATTTTAGTTTCTTGCGAATGTCTGAAAAACAGCCATTGATAGTTGCATTCTGAAAAAAAGGTTTTCATTGTCATCCCAATATAACATTGGGATATAACAAACCATGTCCCACCATTTCTGAAATATCAATAGCAGGATCAATTTAAAGTATGTATAGGAAATGACCGTTTTTTTTAAGAAACCTGTAAGGATGTATATTTTGCAAAATATATAACCATATTGTTAATTCAAATTTTATTCGTTTGTTCAAAGTTCATCATTCAACCATTGTATATATGACTTTCAGGAAGTATTAAAATATTTTATCTGTTGAATATATATGACTCAAAATCAAAATGCTTTGTTCCCAGTACAGAAAAATATGATTTCGCCAAAAAAAAATACGGGAGACCCGAGAAGACTTCAACCGCCTTATTTGAACACCTAATTCATGCAGAAAGGGTATATAAACTATTTGAAATTGTCTATCCAACTCATGGTAGACTTCTTTTCAAACTGTATTAGAGAGAACAATGTTTTAGTATAATACATTTTATATTTATTCAGTACTAACATTGAGTTCTTTATTTCACTATGTTGAAAATTGTATTGACATTAGGTTAATTTTTAGGAATTCAATCTCATAGAAAGAAGAGAACTGGCACCCTTACAGGAATTAATTGATAAATTGACAGCAAAAGAAGCACGATGAATTTGGTTACAGTAGAAATAGAAGTTGAACATGCCTTTAGTGCATATAATTTGCCTGTATCTCTATGGATTCTTATTCTTCGTGGGAAAGTAACACATTGGATGATTTTTTTAAGTTATTATCTAGTTATTCAGTTTATTTATGAAATATTTGTTATTCACACAACTGTTGAAGTGATTTACAATTCCACTTACTTTTATATCAAGATATTTATTTTGAAGATGCCCTTCACTGAAGTTTTTTCCTGATGATGCTTGATCTGAAGAAAATGAAAGAATTGCTATTTTCGAAGGTAATATGCATGTGCTCTCTTCAATAGTTTTTGAAACACTCTTATTCTTGTGAAGTAGGAGAAGAGAATTCAGACTAACACAAAAATTCTGAAAAAATTGATTTATGAAGCTTATCAATACAATTCCTTTGATTTCAATAGATCGAAGGTAAAGTCTGAGTATATGTGGAAAAAATGTTATGTTTTTGTTTGCACTCCAAAATGGAAGGAAACTGAAGTTTTGTGTAACTGATAAATATTTTAATTTTCAACTTCAGGACAAATCCAATATAATAGTTTAAAAATTTCCACACTATGAATTTTATGTAGGAAAAAATTCACTCAACGTACTCTTTCATTTGAATTGATTCATACCAAAAAGACCAACATATTATGAATTCATCCTTCAGTTCTCGAATTGTCTTCAGAGAGTATTTATAAAAATAGAAATACAATTATCAAATAGTCAGCTAATTTTGGGATCAAGATATGTATGTTTCAAATGTGGATCAAAGATATTCATATTTTCAGGAAATTCAGTAATCATTATCAATTCATTTTCAAGTTTTTCTAAGTCGCTTATGTAATTGTTTTTGAACAAATTTGTTGTAACGAAAATTATTCCTTTGATCAAATAATGGTAATCGTAGAAAATGAGAGTTGAGTAAAATAAATGTATCCAACTTTGGTTGATTGCAAATAGCCATTAACTTGATTGGGATAAAAAATTTGTATACATATTTTTGTCTCTTCCCAATGAAATTAGTAGTTATGATTTGATTTGCTAATACTTTTTTTAACTGAATACTTACTGATATGTTTCACTACAAGTTTCTCAGCATCAACAAGGGTTCGTTTTTGTTTGTGTGAAATATATTTTAGTTATAGTTTGTGTTATTTCTATACATATAGTTTTTTTTATAAATTTTCGGTAATTCAATCTATTCTTCAACTACATTTTATGGAACTTTTCATATCAACTATGTTACTCTCCAATTATTTTTTCACTGTGGCTGTGCTTATGATAAGCATTCATTATTTTTTGGTATGGAATAAACATTTTTCAAACAACTATAGCATTTCTAGTCTGTTATCGTTATAATTGGAGGGTACCATACAATTATTCAAATAAATTTGGTTAAACAGGGTGAGATCACCAAGTGATCATCTTCAAGAGGAAGATTAAACTGTTTAATCTTCCTCTTGAAGATGATCACTTGGTGATCGAAATACTCCAGTAATATTTTAAAAATTGTATTCACTGGTTCAATTTGTAATAAGACCTCTGGCATAGTATGAGTCTGACTTTTTTCAATGTTAAGTACACCAGATATGAAAAATATTGTTCCTGGTACTTTTTTTCAGTACACCAGATGTGAAAAATATCGTTTTTGGCAGGTTTACCAAGCAAGAGCATAATTATGGTGAAACATATGATCAATGTATGAATTCTGTATAGGGGCAAAGTTAATTTTTCAATCAATTTTATACTTGTACATTAACCTCCTTGCAAAAAAGTAGGTCATCATTGGCCTTTGGATTTTACCATATTTACAAGCTTATATTGATGATATGAAATAAAGAGGTGAGTGATTGACAAGCAGAACCATGAAGCATAGTCACAAGTGATCGGTGACAACTATAAACTGAAAATGTATCTCCATGTAATATTTGATGGGTAATAACATTCCAGTTTTTCACATATGAACGACAATACATAGAGTCGAAATTTGTGTGTGCTAATGATTAAGGAGGTTGTTCCTCTCTAAGTGCGATTTTTAGCATGGATCAGACCAGAAGCAGTAAACAGACCAGAAGCAGTAAAGTAGGAATTCACCACGTTAACGACTTCTAATAAATGTTGCTTCTCAAGAGTGTGACCTTAATATTAGTTTAAGATCAAATAAACTATAAATTTACAAGTTATCAAAGAAAATTCCACTTATGGTCCATAACTAAACTGGTAATGAGTTTGTCCCCTTTAAAAAAATTAATCATTATTAATTCATTGTATTGCCATCAATGTGAGTATCAACTGTTTCCTTCTTAATTTACATTAGATAATGTCAATCCTTAAAATATTTGTGTATTCGAAAAATGATCAGATACTCTATATGATCCCAGGTTACTTTTTTGTTAAGTCAATTCTTGACTCTAAACATGATTTATATATTTTCACATTACTTGTTTGAAAAATATAAGATTCATTATTTCTTTTGTAAAGTATCATTTCTTTTACGAAACCTTGTTCTTAAATACAATACTTCCTTAATGCTTTATGCTTACTAGAATACATCTTAATTTTTAATCTTTAGATTTTAGATGAGCATATTTTCATACCCATGACTAAAAGTACATATTTTTTTACTCATGTTAGACATCAAGAATATTTTGTTAAATATAATAGTTTCAACATTCAACGTGGAATGCTACAACACTTATCCTAACTATGGAGTTGGTACATAATCAATGCATAATCAATATCTGAAATAGTGCTGAGGAGCACTGATTGTAAATACAATTAATACATTTTTGTAGATTGACTGATTATGATTTCATAAAACCCTACATTTACTCCTTGTTTCCTCCATTTGAGGTTCTTCATACTTTATTATGAAGTACCTACAAATTTGATGTGCTAAGTGTGGAATTATAAATTTTCTGTATTTATTGAATATGCTAATATGGTCTAGCCGTTCTTGAGTTCTTTTATTATCATTGTTATTTTTATTGATGAAATATCATTTTCAATACTTATTCTAATCTCAACAAAGACAAATCCAAAAAGTCAAAAATCACAAAAATTGGTCCAGCTGTTCTTGATTCCTTTTATTATTATTATTGATAAAATATCTATTTCAATACTTATCATCCTATTTCAGAAGAAGACATATCTAAAAAGACAAAAATCATAAAAATTGGTCCAGCCGTTCTTAAGTTCTATTATTATTATCATTATTGTTATTTGACTTTTTTTACATTTATTCACCTTTTAAACCTTTCAGCCCTTCTAGAATTTTAGCGTCATATATAATCATATATATATATTTTAGTTATAGTTTGTGTTATTTCTATACATATAGTTTTTTTTATAAATTTTCGGTAATTCAATCTATTCTTCAACTACATTTTATGGAACTTTTCATATCAACTAACCAAAACCGGTCTATCGGTTGGTTGCATCGACCAACTGCTATTCAAAGTGGGAAATAACTTGCGACTAATCTTCTAAATCGAAGACGTTGGACAGGTGCCTGATGGTAGTATCAATAAGAGGGATGTCGTGCAAAGGTTACCAGCAACATGGGACATCCATTGTATCTCTCCACAAAATCAAACAGACCGCACAGCCCCAAGAGCAAAACTCGGCAACTGATAATTCAGGCATAATGAAAAACGTGGGTATATATATATTTATGAAGGAGGCCAAAGCATAATTCCGTGAAATTGCTTTCAATAACAATTGCATGATGACTCAATACTCTCAAATTTGACAATTTCGATTAACATTTTTTTTCTCAAATTTTGTTGGGCAACCCTGGTTTGATTTTTTGCCTGAAACTTTATACTGATACTTACAAGTTATTCTTCATTGCTATTATGCTATAGCATTGGTTTGTTTATCCAGAGAACTGGTCCATTTCAACTAGATATTACAACCTCGCTTGAGATACAAAAAGTTAAAAAAGTATCCAGAATGTATTTGCAGTTATATTTCCAAATAATATACATTTTCATAATTCACCAAAGATTATGCCTATTGTTTCTATTACTATTATAAAACAACATAAATAATAATATTTATTTTCCTATGTTCCACTCCTATAATAGACCCCACATCTTCAAGAAGGAGGGGGAGGGGGTGGAGAAGTCAATAAACTATTAACATCAATTCCTGGCGGTGGCGGAGGAGGACAACTATTTGAGGGCCAAGCAAATGGCGGAGGGGCCCATGGTGGCATACTTGTTGCAGGAGGCGGTAAAGTTGTTGAGTTTGAAGCTCCTGGTGGAGGAGGCTGACTAGCCCAAGGAGGCATAACATGTGGAGGACTAGAAGCTCCTGGTGGTGGAGGGGGTGGTAAAATACCAGGTGGTGCTGGAGGCCAAGACATAGTTGGAGGACCAGCCCATGGAGGTGGTGGCATTCCGTTCATCAAAGGCATGGGCGGTCCAGCCATTGGAGGAGCCATAAGTGGTCTTGGAGCCATTTGTGCATCAAATATGTTGAAACCTAATGACAGAAAATATAAATTATGCATGGTAGTAAAATAGAAAAATATTATTGTTTGAAGTTAGTTTAGGAGTTATACCTTATTGACATGAGAGAAATTTCTACACAGCTATAAAGGTAGTGACAGACACACAGTCACAAATGTTTTGAATTATCTAACTTTTGTCTTCCAATCCAAACGCTCATAGAAATTCTTTGTATGAAAAAAGCGTAGAGTTCAGTGGGTGTAAATTATACAATATGCTTCCAATAGCTCTTAAGAATTCCCTAAATATTAATGTGTTCAAAAGTCAGCTGAAAAAAATGCTACTTCAAAGGACTTGTTACACCATTCAAGAATTCACCAATCAACTAACCTGAGATCTTGACCTTTAGCACATTTGGTGAAACTGTTGACTTTCAATACTTGAGAACTTGTGTGTTGATTATATTTTATTGGCTTTTTTATACTCTATAACTAGTTACATTTATATTTTTATATTTATATGTTACTTTTATTCCTTATGGATGTTTATCACTGTTTGTGTTATTGTATTGTGTATATTATTTAGACTGACTTATAATATGGTTACATATTATTTGTCATATAAAATGGTTATATGTAGTTATTTACATTTATATGTTTTTACATTTACTTTGTTTATTGTGCATTGATTTCTGTCAACTATACTTTTCAACCAAAGAAATAAATATTATTATAATCCGCCGATTAGGATCAGGTTGAAATCAGCTAAATAGGTCATTTTTGGAATCTTCTTTTATGATGCAATATTACAAATTTATGTCCACCAGTTTATAAATATTCGACCAAAATCTTGGTTGTGCAAAACTGAAGTAACTGCTTCTATTAATACATTCAGTCAAAAGTGTGAGGATGCAATAACAACACTTCTTTTTTAATTTTGCACTTATATTTTAGGATAAATGACTCATTTTTGTGCTATATCTTATACAAGATTCAGAAATAATTCCAATTCATATAGTTTCAACAAGATTTTTTTAAGTAAATTGATTGAATGTTTTGTGTTGACATCTTCAGAGGAAAATCTCTTTAACATGTAACACAAATCTTAGTGAACAAATAGCCGTTGGGTGGAGAATATTTCATAGTATATTGTGGGAGAACTTAAAAGAGTTTTTGTGATAATTTTTGTTTATTTTTACCTATTATGGCCATAATTGTTATATCTTAATGATTTGGAAACAAAAATTCATGTCTAATTGGTAATTTCATTGTCCAAATACAACGCATATCGGACAGAGGTATATGTATAATTTTGAGATGCAATCGACTTACCCCAATGAAGACTATACTCGATTCTAGTCAGTGGTTATCAATCTTAAACAGATCTTATTATCTAAGCATGGTCTTTATATTAAAAATAATAAATGGTATTCAACCTAACTATTTTAATAATTTAATTAAAGTCAAAAATGAAGTTCACCAATATGGCACTAGAATCAATAATAATTTATTATTAATGTTTACTTACATTATGTATAATATTTTAATGACCGTTTGTACATTAGGGTAACCTAAATAAATTAAATACTACTACATATCAAATCTGAGCCAGATGGTGAAACAAAAACAAAGTCCTGTAAGCTGTTTTCATAAATTGTTGTGGTCTCTTGTGTTTCCCATGAGGGGAAATATTTTGTTTTACCTATTCATCAGTTTTTCAATTCTATATTGAACACACTGGAAACATTTCTTTCACAAATTTACAATTAAGTAACTCAAAAACACAAAATGCCCCAAAACAATAAACATAACCTATGAATATTACTGGAATTTTTTCCCAACACCAAATCGTTATTTTTAACACCTCGACACGTGTTCCGATCACCAAGTGGTAATCTTCAAAGAGAAAGATTAAAACTGTTTTAATCTTTCGAAACACGTGTCGAGGTGGTAAAAATAATGATTTGGTGTTGGGAAAAAACTCCAGTAATATTCATTACTACACCAAAGGTTCCACACAGTGCATAATAAGAACATAACCATGCTTAACATTCAGTTATTTCATCAATAGAAACTCTTTCCAATATAAAAATGTAAAAGAACAAAAAATAAATAGCAGTGTCCCTCTTTCTTCTAATTCGCATTGGCATTTTCAACTCCTTTCGACTAAAGATAAAAGAAATTTCAATCATAGATGTTCATGAACATTTCATCCAAACAAAAATCTGCATAAGGACTAGAAGATCACAACCTTCCGAGAAATCATTTTTGTGTGAATGAGCTAGAGATAGCATAAAACAAAGAAATATATGTTTTCTAAACAGAGAACTCTCATGTCTGTAATTGCCCTCTTTTTCTTAAGCATGCCTTGAATTTCCTCTTTTTGAATAATGATTTACCATTTTATTAGAAAAGGTTTCTGTCAATTATCATAGAAAGGTTGTTTCAACAATATGAATATATCTCTTTCATTTTAAACAAGACTGTTATGGCTGATGTTAATTTAAATGAACGTATGAATGTCTTTACATATTGTCATCGATGAAATGAGTAGGTTTAACTCATTTGTGGTATAAGGTCGTAATTGTATAAATGAATTGAGTGCTTCATTTCGTAATGTTATCCAGATTGGTGCTGAAGAGGCAATAAGGCAAGTGTCTTATTCCGAAACATCGATGTCCACCATTGAGGATGACAGTGTTCCATGTATGTGAACCAGATCAAAATTGTCAGAACACATTTTAAAAACAAAAGGTGAATATCAAATTGAATAAATTGAATTATGTGTACTTCGCTGAAGTACACAGATGTCAAATCAACATTGACATATTTCACATTTCAAAATGTATTTGACAGATTCTGTCAAAAAAGTTTTAAAATAAAGCGTACACAAAAGGAAAACTGCAAGTTACATTTGATTTTTTCCAATCTGAAGGCAGACAGATTTCAACCTCCAAAACGATAAGATTATGTAATTTCTTGATAGGCAAAATTATTAAACAAAAGTCAGGGTAAACTAAAAAGTTTGACATTATAATCGTTGCCGGGGACATTTTCAAATTTGTGAAAGATTTTTTGTACCATAAAAAATTCAGCCAAGTCAAAGGTATGACAACTAGAATACAAAATGTATTTCAAATAAAAACTGCTGAAAAGAAGTTTATAGTTGTTTGAGAACAAGAATTTAAAAATGTATTGAATTAGTGGTCTTCAATTTGAACACTCGCTCAATACATAAATGTGAAATTTTTATTTGAATTTTGGCCTAGTATCAAGTTCTACAAATTAAAAAAAATAAGATTTTGATCAAGAACCAACTCTGTGAAGCTGTCAAAAAATTTAAAATTTCATGTAGGTATATATACAAATGAAAAGCAAATATAATTTTGTCTCTTACCTGTTGTTTTCCGTTGTTGAGTAGTAGTAGTTTGCTGCACAAGTCCAGGAGGAGGTGCCTCACCCAATTCGGCCATAAGAGATAAATATTCCTCATCAATCTTTGCCTTGTCGCCAGGCAGTGGTGGGCCTCCTAGTCCAGGTCGTTTGGACCTACAATCACGAGCGATATGCCCGGCTGCACCACAACTCGAACATACTATGCTGTTAGTAACATTAGGTTTGTCTGGACACTAAAAAAAAAAAAAGAAAAATGATAATGATCACTAATAAATCCAAGAATCAAGAATGTTAATTTTATTCACTAGATGATTATATCCAACCTCAACTAGAAAATTATATTTCATTATATTGGGTATTTCTTAAAATGTTCTTGAACAGCATTTCAAGATATGTTAAATATAAAAAAACAAAAAAAAACAGATGCTTTAAAGCTTATTATTATAACTTGTAAATTAAATTTCACTTCAAGCAACACCACCTTTCTCCCAAGATAAATATATTTAAAAAAAAATGGTTTCAATGGGTCCATAATTTTCAAATATAAGAAAAATTTATTCTACAACCTAATCTCATAATTTGATATTGTATTACTATACTACACGTGATATTTCCTTTTATTTACAATACATAAATTTTTAGTATCCTTAAGACGATCTAATATATGGTTGAATGTTGATATTTGCAAATTGTTTTTTCTTCTTCTAACCTCCAATAACCAAAAGTGCCAGTACATAAAAAAAAACACTTACCAGCCAAGACTTGTGATCAGTAGCCCCACAATTATTACACCTCATTCCATCATTCTCCCTAAGTGTTCCATTTAGTTGAGCCAACTCCCTTAACTGCATTCGCCTTAGATCATTCTGATTTTCAGGCACCTCAACACCTTGTCTTATAACTTCTTTTATCTATAAAACTTAAAAATTAGTTTTGAATAAAATAATAAAGGGAATTTCATACCCGTTCTACAGCTTTTTTAACACATTCTGGATTAGTAGCAGTAATGTATGCATGTAGAGGTTCGTCTTCACCAGGCAATGGCTGTCCATCTTTCCGTCCGACTTTCCCCTCTTTGACAGATCCTTTTCCACGTATAATAATTTTTGCTCCTGTTTCTTTTTCCATGGCTAAAACAAATTCAGTTGAAAGCAATTTTTCTTTCAGATTATATTTACTTACTTTTCAACGTGTTTCCTCTAGGACCAATAAGAAGCCCCACGAAATTAATTTCTGGGTGTTCTTCTTGTGGTATCATCACCTTGTCACTGACTCGAATAACTGGAGGTCTGAAATAAAATTATTTGTATTATATGTGAACAATAATGGTGGAGAGTGGGAATGAGTATATGAAAAATCAGTTTTTCGAATAGTCAGTCATTTTAGATCAGACCCGAAAGATGGTAAAACATCATGTGAAAAATTTACAAAGAAAGGAAAATTTGGAGGTAAAGCATGAAAATTCAAATTAAAGTTTTTTTTCTCACAACGATTATTCATTGTATACATAGAATCAAATGATTTTAAATTTTTTTTAAGGGCAAAACACAAGTGCTACAGAAAAATCCTTAAGGCGCTCAATGTGATTCACATTGGATTTGAATCGCTGAAGATTAAATCCATTCATAAAAACGTTCTCAGGAAGTTTATTCCACACAAACGCCGTTCTCCAAATGAAAGAGTTTTTAAACAGTGAAGTTCGAGGTGTTCTGAGGTGAACCTCAAAACAATGAGCAGCCACAGTTCGTCATGTATTTCTGATATGTACCACTCTTGGTAGAATCAAATGTGCCAAGTCACTTGAACACTTCCCGTGAAAGTATCTATAGAAGAGAGACAAATTTCCAACCTTTCTTTGATGTTCCAGACTATCAAGGTTGCAAGTGATGTTCACATCTCTTGCAACCAGCAACTTCAGGGTATGTTTGGGGACAAAGCTCAATACTTCAAAGAAGGTCTGATCTGACCTTATAAAGCATCAAAAGTTCTTGAGGTGTGTAGTTTTCTGATTCGGAACAGTGTTCCAAACTTTCGAGAAGCAGCCTTTGCAATTCCATCAACATGATTGTGCCAAGACATATTGGTGTCCATTTTAACCCCAACTTATCGAAGCAGAAAGCGGAATTGGCTGACCTGACAATATTATATCCGGTTCGGAAACATTTATCTTTTTGGAGAAAACAGATGCCTGGGTTTTTGTGGCATTGAATTGAACCTGGTTACTTTCATCCCAATTCGAAATTACTTCTAGATCCTCATTAAGATGTTCAACTCCTGTTTCCAGTGAAGATGAGCATCCGCAGCTGATGTTCCGGAATCCAAATGCAAAGACGAGACAAGTGTGCTGTCATTAGCAAAGCAAGATATTGGACTCCTGGTCCTCTGGTTTTATATAGGCTAAAGTGAGAGCGTAAGTTAAATGGAAGTAACAAGTCTCTGCCATGTACCACGTTTTGCAACACCAACCGTTATTTTGATACCTCGACACGTGTTCCTTCAAGAGGAAGATCAAAGAAATAATTAAACTGGTTTAATTTTCCTCATGAAGATGATCAATTGGTGATCTAAACACGTGTTGAGGTGCTGAAATAACGGTTTAGTGTTGGAAAAAAAACTCCAGTAATATTCATTACTACACCAAAGGTTCCAAACAGTGCATCACAAGTACATTAACTGAGAACCAATTGCGACCGTTATCACATCTCCTTTGATGTCTACCGCAGTAGTAGACGAAAAGTGAGGCATAAAACCGGCAGACCACGGTTCTAAAAAAAGTGACTATTAATAGTGCATTTCTTCATAAATTTTAAATTGCCATTAAGTTTGTTGGTATGAAAGCTATATTTGGTGTAACTCCAAAAAATGATAGTTGTAATTTCATGCAAAACGAGTTTTGCATTTCACAGATCTTGAATTTTTGTACAGCAAGCGCCAAACGTGACGGCGAGCGGTCGCGCAGGTATAGACTCTCCCAACTAAATTACTATTAGATTAAGATAAGCCCCTTGTGGCCAATGTCATACCTATAATTATATAGTTTTAATTAGGGTAGCAAATGGAACATGACTTCTTTGAATTTCTTTTCATATTTTATTTAGTATTATAGATAGTACAGTTCATTGAAATGTTATATAATGATAGACTTATCCAAAAAGAAACTTTTGTTAAGCGATGATATTTTTTCAGAAACACAAATTATTCCGACAATGCTAAATGCCAATAGTATTGGCGGACAAGTAATGATACATCTCTGTACAGAGCATTTGTTATGTCTTGCAAGAACTGTAGTGGGGGACATTGAAAATGAGTTTGTGCACATGGGGGCAGGCTCGTCATCACGTTTGTCGCTTGCTGTGAATGTTTTTTATACACATAAATCAAATAAGGCATGGATATGGTTTTCATCAGTTATGTTGTCTGATAGTGATCAATAAATGACAAATATGTTATACTCAGCAGTCACACATTAGATATTATAGAGCATTAATATTTGAAGTGTCAAGCATGAAAACTACTTACTTATAATCTAGAGGAGGTTTGAATTCAGGATTGATTCCTTGCATTCTAAGAACAAGAGCATGTCTATCTTCTTCAAGTTTTTTTCTGGTTCGAAATTCTCTTGTATTCAACCTCTTGCCATCGCTGCTATAAATAGGTTCTGGTGATGGCGATCTGACAAGAAAAAATTAAGTTAATAACCGTTTTGTTTTCTGTTTGCCAATCACAGATAATAAGGGCTGACTTTGGTCTGTACAGAAAAGTAATCCAAGTATCAGTCGAAAAATGTTTAAAAAAAAGTGATTATAAATAAGAGAAAAATATTTCATTTACAAAATTAAGAAAAAATACTTAGTTACATGGATTCCAAGTGTGAGAATTATCATAATCTTTGAAAAATGAACACACCGTATGTCCACACTGTCTTTAAAGACTATTCAGCAAATAATCTGTGATGTAACAAACAGAAAATGAAAACATTCTAAATGTGAATTTAAGACCAGCTGGTAACAATAATAACAGCTAAAAACTATAATAAAATTATTCAAGTCAGTTATTGCAATTGTTTCGTTTCAAGAAAAGTTTCCTAAAAAGAGATTGTATTATTTGCTGCAATGAAAAATTATTTTAATAAGGGCCTTATTCAAAAAGTGCTGAAACTAAACATGTTTTATTAATAATTAGGGCCTTCATGACTCATATTTGGCTGAAATTGAATAATTTAGTTAGAAAATAGCTAGTCGATTGAATTGGAAAACTTGATCTAAAACAGAAATGTTATTAATGGAGTAAAATCTATATTTCTTATTGATTCAAGTATTTTTGTATTATAAACCTGAAAAAACCTACAATGATTCCATTATTCTTAAAATATGATTTGATTTTTTCGATCACTAACGACTGAATGCGTTTTTATTGGAATTTCACGATATTGGAGAATATTTTTTTTAACTCAAGTCTGATATGTACGTCCTGCAGAAATATAATATTTTCAATTGCAATTTTTCCATAAATAAATTCAATTTAATTTTTGTTAATTTACTCTCTCACTCTGATATATCTATATATAAAATCAAATTTTCTATTCATTTTCAAAACAATTCATTCCACAAAAATCACTTTCATGGATGTTCAAACAGTAAAAATAAAGGTGAGAAATCGCAAAATGCAAAATACAAATAACTTTTATTTATGTTAATTGCAAAACTTTTATTTGATTGAATTGTCCTCTGAAAATATAGCTGTGACAAAGATACTTGAATGAACAAAAGATGAACTGGGTTTTCATCATGAAAGAACTTTATAAGAATATTGAACACTTTACTGATATTTTCCACAGAAATGTATTTACAAAAAGCCAATTCATCTTGTATAGAGTAAAAAATAAAAAAAAGGAAATATATTGACTGTTTTATAATGTTGCCAAACCACAGTAGCCAAATGGTTGACCATGTTGTCAGTCTAGTCTCATATACCCCACCTTTCTTCTGGATTGGCAGGAATTCCAAGGTCACCTGAACGCAGCTTTCGACTCACTTCTTCGATCTGGAGTTGAACTGTAATAAAATGGGTTAAAAGAGGGCAAAGCCCAAGAGTTAGATACATTTTTTGAAAAGGAAAATTATTATTGCAATTGGCTATGTAATAATAAGTATGTTCGCGATTTTTTATTAATTATTCGAATTCTGTTCCTAATTCAGACTTTTATCTGAAAAAAATCAGCGATAAACTAGTAAAATGTGAAGCATTAATTACACTTATGAGAAATAGTAAATTATAAATGAAGTATTAAACAATGAGTTTAGTAAGGACAAACATTATATAAAATGTATTATTGAAAATGGTTAACTTCTTGAAGATCTCATAAAAATATGTAATGAAATGAATAACCATTTTATAAATGTGGGGCTCGAAATGTCATCCAGTATTTCCATTTCACCTATTAATAATAATAAAAATATAGAGTTTACACCTTGTAAGGAAGTGAAAAATATTATAAAAGATTTCATTAAAAAGAAATCGGCAGGATTTGATAACATAAGCATAAAACTTATTAAAATGGTTACCACAAAACTATCACCTCTAATTATTGAACTTATAAATAATTCCTTTGAAACAGGTGTTATTCAAAATGACATGTAAAGAGCCACATTGAACTAGTTTTTAAAAGTGGAAACAAAGAGGGTTTGAGTAATTATAGACAGAGATCTATATTACCAGTTTTATCAAAATCATGAAATAATGAAACAAAGGCTTTTGTAATATCTGGGTAAAAAGAATTTTTTGTACATTTATCAATATGGTGTTCAAAAATCAAGTGTGACAGAATCTGCCATTTTAGATTCAACAACCAATATACAACTAAAATTATATAAAAATTTTCATTTTGGACTATTATCACTATCAAAAGCTTTTGATACTGTCAATCATATAATTTTATTACAAAAAATATTTGATAATGGGATTAGAGACTCAACTCATTCTTGTTTCAATAATTATTCAAATATGTGTGATTGATGACTGGTTTACTTATGGTAATTCATGATCACTTAAATGAAAAGAATGAAATACTTTTGTCTAAATACCACTGGTAAATTTTATTTATAGGACCGGTTTCGGGTTTGACCCCATTATCAAGTATAAAACTGAAATATGAATTTTGAAATATCAATTTTATTAGAATTTTCAGGTATGCTGCAAGGACAGGTATTTGAGAGACAGGACGCTAACTTAATACCACCCTAAAAATTGTAGGGGTTGTTAAACTCATAAATTCAAGAGAGGAGACCTACATAAATCAATTTGCTCGTTTAGGGGTATATATTTCTGGTTTTCGATTGATTTGTTGGAGGCCATGGAAATCAACATATCAATTAAAAACCAGAAACATATACCCCTAAACGAGCAACTTGATTTATGTAGGTCTCCTCTCTTGAAATTATGAGTTTAACAACCCCTAGAATTTTCAGGGTGGTATTTTAAGATGGCATCCTGTCTCTCAAATACCTGTTCTTGCAGCATACCTGAAAATTCTAATAAAATCGATATTTCAAAATTCAGATTTCAGTTTTGTACTTGATAATGGGGTCAAACCCCAAACGGGTTGTATAAATCAAATTTACCAGTGGTATTTAGACAAAACTTATTTATTCATTTCATTTAAGTAATTATTTAAATAATAGAAATCTGTTTGTATGTATGGGAGATAAAAGTGTTTCAATTCCGGGACCTATTTTATTTCTCATTTATATCTATTTAATTTCCTATTTGATCTTTAGCAGATAAATCAAACTGTTAGCAGATGACACAAACTTAGTTCATCATCAACAATCAATATATCAAAATCCTAGTTCATTTTTTTCACAAAGAGAAAGTCAAAATTGATAAAAGATCACCTAGTATTAAATGAACTGAACGAAAATATTTCTGTATAACTGAAATTTAAGGTTTATATTTAGTCAAACAACTTTCTTGGAAAAACCTATTCAATATTTACAGAAAAAAATTATCTCCACTGGTTGACATGCCTTATGTTTTTAATGTTGTTATATTTATTTAAAAATGTCTTATATACTTGTCTTTATGTGTCATTAAGTGATATTAGCGTTCCATCCTCATCAATGTAGTATGTCCATGTATGCATATCATATATATAAAAATGGATGTTTGTTGGTTGGTTGGTAAGTGATAAACTTCTACATCGCTCAGCTGATCGTGATGAAACTTGACATGTATAAGTAATTTTTCATAGAGAAGGTTTATAGGCTATTAATTTTTCTGTAACTCGCCACTAGATGGCGCTGTAGAACAATTTTTTGAAAGCACTGTTCTGTAATGCTACGCTCGCCTAGCCTAAGTTCGTTGATTTGATTCTGTCAAAACATTGAAACAGCAGCGATACAGCAACAGTACTAGTATGTAATATATGTAACTAGTACTTTAGGAGTAACTTTTTGTAGTAATTGTGTGGGTTTAACCACCTCACCAGACACGTCCAATACATCGTATAATAGGAAAACATTTAATAAAATTTTATTTGATTTGAACTATAAATTACTCTAAAAAGTTGTTTCTGAAAACCAGTTAAAAAAAAATACCTGAAGAACTGGTAAATGTCTTCTTTCTTCAAATTAAGATGCATTATATGTTCTGTATTCAGAAGTATTTCATTTCCTGTCAATATTTAGTTTTACAAATTTAGTTAAGGTCCCTGTTATGAACATTTATGTTTCTTGGGGTCAATAAATGATTGATATAAATTATTTGCTGGGAAAAATTGGATTCTCCATTAAAATTACATTTGTCTTCCACACATTAAACAACCTGCTATAAAAATTTAATGGACAAAACACTTTAAACCATTTCATAAATCTACCCAACTGTCTTGATTCCCGCCGACAGTTCAATACCAAATTCAGATTAGTTCACACTTTAGAGATTATTATAAAAAAAAAAAAAACAGAAATCCCTGAAAGTATCTCACACATTTGGGTAGAACTGGAGTGATATTGGAAATGAATATTTAATTCACTCTCAACTTGCCTTTAGAAATCTTCAAAAAAGATAAGATCAATTGGTATAAATTATACTGCCAGGCAATTTCAAATCAGCATTTTTAAAGAGATTTATGTTTAGAATCCAGCACCTGAAAAAGAAAACATTGCTTCTAAACAATCAATTATTGACAGTTGTACTGCAAAAGAACTCTGGCAAAATGTAGGTGGAATCATCTTCAAAAGCTGTAAAATTTGTGAGTTGAATTATATTCATCATAATACCATTGTATAGTGATTAAATAATTGCACTTTCAATGTATAATCCTGATGTTTTCTGTAAAATAAGGGAATACAAATTTTGATTTAGAAGTGATACTTACAAATTATATTTGCACTATCTGATTCAATGTATCTATCCCACTAGAGACTCAGCCTGCCTGACACTCCATATTCACAGTACTCATCAACAAAATTATACAATTCATATCGATATATCTTCATGTAATCTCTCTTATTAACCTAATAATTATTTAATACCAGAAAAGCAACTTACGTAAATATGCCTGTTCCTGTTCCTTATCAAGGTTTGGCGGAAGGATGGTGGGCATCCCAGGAATGAATATTTTTTCATGTTCACTACCTCCCCATCGAGACCTTTTTTTTCGCCTTCTTTCTTCTTCTGTACTTCCTGTAAATTTTGAATCAATTTATAACTGAAATTATCATCAAGCACCCAGTAAATAAAATTGCAAAACAATTCTTTTTTAGTGACCATTTACATATTGTCTGTTGATATTTATAGTGACAATAATTCAATATTCATTATGAAGATCAAGAAAATATTAAAGACTCACTGACTATTCAAAGAATATATTTTGAACATTTATCTATTGAATCATATTTATATTATTCAAAAGTGATCTTTGAATCATTTTTTAAAATGTTCTTAGAAGATGTTTTGAATATTGTATAGATAGATAGATACATTTATTTCAGAGTATTTTATAATCAGTCACAAGAGTGGCAGAATATTTTTGTCTGAGAAATATGTCAAAAGGAAAATTGTAAAAATATCAAATATGTGTACATATAAATCCAAAAATGAAACATTCAAAATGAATAGCTTCAAGTTTCAAACACGATTACAAACATTTTAAAATATGCGTCATATTACGCATGATTACTGAAAGTAGAGATAATTTCTATAAACACATAGCACAATTTTGAATAAAATTTGGTTCATAAATTTCTACAGGCCAGAAAATATTCATCAGTATTGTAGGGCTCTAGATTACATAAGAATTTTCTTACAGATTTCAGAAATCTGTTAGCAACAACAATATCTTTCATGATTTTCGGAAGATTATTACAAAATTTCATTCCAGTATAGATAGTGCTACGTTCATATAGGGATTTTGCATTGATGGGATATGAGAAGTCTTTTTTTCATCTTGTCTCATAAATATGCGTTTCGCGATGTATGTCAAAATGGCCTGGATGATTTTATTGATTTATAGATATAGATTGCTGACACAGTAAGTAATTTGTTGATCTTAAAGGCTCCTCTGCAGGAATCTCTTGTATTCATATTGAAGATTATTCTGATACGTTTTTTTACATATGAAAACTCTATTAAACCTGTGACATGAGCCCCAGATGATTATCCCTTGTCTCATAGCGGAGTAAAAATTCGCATAATATACTGTCACTAGTGCTTCAAGATCAACATTTTTTTTAGGACTCTCATGGCGTATGTTACCGAGGATAGTTTATGGCAAAGGTTATCTATATGACTACTCCAACTTAAAGTGTCATCAATGTATATGCCTAGAAACTTCACTGAAGTATTACAAATGATTTTTTGATTGTGCATAATTATGTTTTGTGGTGTTTCTATACGGTTATTGATTTTGAACATGATACAATATGTTTTTCCATTGTTGAATTGTTCTATTATTTTGCTACCCTTTTTTATAATAGCAGGTAAGTTCGCACCTGTTAATAGAAGATTGGTATCATCAGCATAATTGAATATGTGAGCAGTGTTTATGTCTGCTATAACCTTATTGGATTTGATGAAGTATTTGTTGAAGCTATTGGCTACCTATCAAGGATTATCGTATTCAAATTGTACAGTTTGGGATACACCTATCACTTCTCTAATAAATACTCTGTGTTCAAGATAGGGAGGGTCAGCATGAGGAAATCAGAGACCATGAGAGATACGAAGAGAGTTAAACTGAGAAAAAGTTATGAAATCCAGAGATATTAGAATTTTTCCAACATCATTTGAGAAGGTATCAAAAATATACTTTTTCATTACCAATTTTCCAACTGTACAAGACATCATTTACAATCTGACTTTTCATCTTTGGAAAACCAACCTAAATTTTAATCTTTTAAGTGGCGACTACTTCACCAATATATCATAATAATTGTTCAATCAGTTCATTTCTAAACTTCATTTGAATGAGGTCTAAAATAGGAGTGGACATTTCTCAGAATAAAATACAATAATTCAAAAGACTCTGAATATATGCATTATAAAAAAATGCTGCCACCTCAGATATGTTTTGAAACAATGAATTGATATGGCTTTATCCGTCTAGCCTAGAGTCGATTGTGATGTCCAGAAATTATAACTTCTTTTCAGTTTCTAATGTTATTTGCTCATTCGTGTATACTGGTATGAATCCGTCAGTTTGTGAGAATGAAATTAATTGGGTTTTTTCATTACTGACCAACAAGTTATTGCAGTTGTTCAACACATTTCTTCAAATTTTGATATTTCTCACTGGAAACTATTGCCCAGAAATCTAGTCCCAAGGATGACCTTGCTTTTAGAAATACTTATGTATTTCAGTTTTCCAGTAAAATCTGCTAAGGATTCAATTGAAAATCTAAATCACCCAATTGCTGATAATTACCACCCATCTCAGGAAGTTTATTCCACATAAACGCAGTTCCCCAAATAAAAAGAGTTCTTAAAACAGTGAAGTTTGTGGTGTACTGAGTTGAACCCCAAAATGATGAACAGTGATAGTCCGTTGCATATTTCTGATATGATGATCTGTCATAATGATCTCCTGAGGAAGTTAGTGAAACGCACATTGTGAGAAAGTGTTTTGTTGGGAAAGTGTGTTGGGAAAGTGTTTTCAATAGATTCATTTCACACCAAAGGTTCCGGTACGAACTATTAAATGAATTTAATGTTGATAATTTATATTTGATAAAAAGTAGCTTACACGAGTCTACGCTTTACCTAAGTGTACCTATAGTACAAAGATGGATTGAACACGTTTGTCAGTTCACGAGCCCCAAAATTGTATTCCATAGCACAGGTGAGACTCAACCAAAGCATAATATACATTTTTTGCTGTCTGATACCCAATTTCATTAACAATTCTTGAGTATTATCATTGGTAGTCCCTAAGAATTTAGTTGTATCTTTTTTTTACAAGTAGTATATAGGACAGTTCACATTCCAAAGAAAGGAGATTTGTCCTTTTCAAGTTGAGTGTTGTGAGATTTGCATCACTCCAGTTCTTGACTTACATTAGATCAGTGTTAATTTTTGATCTGAGTCTTTCGGGATTTTCATCATGCCCAAACAGTACAAACAGAACAGAGCCTAAATCCCACCTTTGGGAAACACCTGACTTTATATTATTTTATTTGGGAGATGTTGTAGTTTTTTCAAACTGTTTTTTATTTTCTAGAATGCAAATTTCAAATCAGAAGAATAGTGGCATTCCTAATGTTTGGATAGCATTACATTCATTTATATTTTATTTTTGTGAGACTTTGTTGTTCTCTATTGAAAAACAATTGAAATGATAGAAGAATAATGGTTCACAGCTTGCGATCGATGATAAAAAAGGTGTCATTTAACAGAGTTTTTCTTACCGGAAGTGAGTTCCTAAGATAGTTCATTGCCATGTTATTAAAGAGGAAAACAAAAGTAGGTTTTCCCACATGGTTCAAAAATATTACTCTTCAGGCCAGTGTGCAGAGAAAGTTTTATGAGTGCAGTAATGATTTCGTTGTAGATTCAAATAGTTTAATTATTTTCAGATACAAAAATTGCACCCTTAAAACTGGACTATTGCAGCCTTTCATCTCCGTATTGATAAAGATACAGCAGATAGAATAATTGGCATGTAGGATGCGATAAACTACCTCAGTCATATTGACCAATGCGGCTTCCTGATCACAACAAAGCTCTCTTTCAGATTGAAGTCACTGGTCTGAGCAAAAATTATTTTCGCAGTCAAATTGACATAACGGCCAACTTAGTAAAAGAAATAAAACTCGATGGAACATATACCCTTTTGGTTCAATGAAGGCTCTTTAGACTAGTGTTGGGACATTGAAACGAGTATTTAGCGATTCTATAAATTAAGGCGATCATTCAATAAGTATGTCTATGCTGAGCATTTCACTTTGAGATTTTTGAGTGATTAAAAAAAAAGCCTTTTTGTTTCTCATGTACCAGTTTGAAATCATATATCTTCAGTTTTGTCTTAAGAATTCACATTGCTCATTTGTTACTACCAGAAACTTACAACATCTCTCATAGATATTCTAAGTTAGTATTTATAAAATAGCTGTGCTCATGCATAATATATTTCCACTGAAAATTAATTATCAAATGAGCAACCCTGTAAATGTTCACTGAAAATCAATAAATTTCGCTGTAATCAGCACAACAAATTTAGCTGATTTTCCAAAAATCATACCAGTAGAATGGTTCGAGTTGCCGTCACCTTCCTTGGAGATTAAACTTGCAAAATTTCTCGTTGCAGCCAAAGTAGCTAATGTATCTGCAATCATTTTATCTCCATCTGGTTCTGGTGAAGGAGATCTCGTATCCCTTTCGCGTCTTCTGTCACGATCACGGCTCCTGCTTCGGTCCCTTCGCCTCTCTCTATCTCTGTATCTATCTCGAGATCTACTGCGTCTTCTATCACGTCTGTCTCGATCTCTATCACGATCTCTTGATCTTGACCGATCTCGACGTCTTGAGGACCCCATTTAACTATAATTCGCGGCTTTCAAATAAACGATACAATAAAAGGAGTCAACATGCACAAAGATAAAATGGATGACACAACACTATTGACAGACAACCAAGAAAAGCAAAACTGTGTTTATCCGTTTCCGTCACTGCTTTATGCGCATGCGTTCATCCGTTTCTTCTTCTTCTTATTATTCCAATGTTTAGATATCTTGTTTCTACTCGGGGGTAGTTTATTGGAGGGGTTACAAAATATTGAAAATTTTAGTCGCCATAGTTTTGATGTCATTGATTAGAAAATAGTACTAAATTAAAATGAAAGGATTATATTTTTTGGAAAAAAAGGTTTTTGGCTTTCTACTACTCCATCTTGATACAAAAAAAGGGAATCTTCCAAAGAAAGGAAGGAAGCAATCAATTTTTAAGAAAGTAACTCTATACATAAATGTATCATGCAAAGAACTTTCAGTTACTACTGAAGTATTTCTTACCAAAGAATTTTTCTTTCGTATAATTCATTGTCTATATGGAAGTATCTGATTCAGGGAGGCTTTATATATGTATAGAGTTACTTCTTTAAAAATTAATTGCTTCCTTCCTTTCTTCGGAAGATTCCCACATTTTTTTGTATCAAGATGGAATTAAAGAAAGCCAGAACTTTTTTCCCAGGACTAAATTATTAGTGATATAGAATGTATTTTAATTTTTTTTATTTCACCGTTATCTCTATGAGTATTGAAAAACCAACATTTCTCAAATCAATATCACTTCATACCATCTACTAGAAATCAAAAGTACTATAAACATTTTGACATTTTGGTCCTTTGAGGCTGACCTTTGAAGCTGAAATATAGGAAGTTGCAGGAAGGAGTAAGTGCCAAAAAGTGGGTATCCCTCATCTCATCTTATCCTCATATTCGTGTTTCCAATAAATTTAAACTGAATGATGACTATAGGATATTCACGTTAAGAAGAGAATATCAAAAAATGGAAAAGGAAAATGTCATTGTATTCGAAGTGTACTATGACGATATAATAATAAAGCTCTGTATAATTTCGGAAGGAGCAATCATGAAATACAAATCAATTCAAAGAACTGAACTAAGATTATAAAAAAAGGAAAGAAGAAAAAAAATCACATCAAAGGTGCTGCTTCGTTCAACAAAGTTGTATTTCAACTAAGTAAATTAATAGTAAGTAAAATTAATAGCAATAAAACAAATCAACAGCGCAAAAAAAAATTTGAAAGTTCGAAATAGTACACATGTCGGCAACGCCGTAACTTGTCATCTTGTGACGTCATTCTCTTCTTAACGTGAATATCCTATAACCATCGACATAGGTTATGTTGCTGCCTATAACAGTAACGATATTTTATTTGACTACTTACTTTTAGTATTTGTTGGGACTATTTCGACAATGCTTTAGGCATATTGAATATATGCAGGTCTTATCAAAAGAAATGATTACTTCTGAAAAGAAAAGAAAGACTGACAGTTTTCGAGTTTTTTTCGATTCGGCAACGTCTGAAATTTTACTATCAGTTGAGCAACTTACAAAATGAAATGTTACTTGTTTCATTGCTATTGAACGCATTTCAGTGGGCATTTTAACGTTGTTATGTTGCATATACAAAATAACCAAAAATGACGTCATTCTCTTCTTAACGTGAACAGCCTATACTAATATTATAAATGTTTAAGAGGCCGTGGGAGCACGGGAGCATCTCTCTTCTTGCTTTACTCTCTCTAGCCAAATTAATCAAAGACGCACGTCTCTGCTGGCGGGTAGCGGAAGTAAGCACTCGAAATATATTTGATGCATTTTATGCTTGGCTATATTTCTAGAATAGCTATTTATGTAAAGAGTTACGAAAACTTTAATTTTGTGTAACGAGCGCAAGTTACAGAAAATAAAATCCTATCGTGTTACATACAAGATTTTTTTAATTTCATTGAAACATTGCTTTCATTATTTTTCGATGATAAAGTATCGAATCTACAAATATTTTCACTAATCAAGGATACTATTCATCACATAGCTTGTCACTTTGGCGTCTTCTATACATTAATTTTTATCCATTTACTTTGAGTGATTTCATAGAGGCAGAAGATATAGAGTAATGACTGATAAGAGTTCTGAATGGAAATTTGTTCTTGTGTTGTGTGATTTTCGAGTTGAAAAGTATGATAAAATCACTGAACCCAGACAAGAATTAGCGAATGATATAAAAATATAGTTATAAAAGGCACATTCGGTAATCATTTATAAAAAATTAAACATGTCATGATTGTTTACGAGAAGAGAGGAGTTTCGTTATCGTTAATTTCATAAATATATTTTTTATATCATTCGCGGTGATTCTAAGCAAGGTTCAATCATTTTTCCTTACTTTCCAACTTGGAAACCACTCAACGCAAGTACAAATTCTGATTTTTGTCTTTTTTCACATTTCAAAATCACTCGAAACGAGTTGAATGTAGAAGATGTCAAATCGACAAGTTATGTGATGAACATAATTGATTAGTGAAAATGAACTGTGACTAATACAAAGAGTTTCATTGAAAACAATAAAATATAACGTAGAATGAGCGAAAAGTAAAATCAATCACATTTCTATGAAACATATATTTTATTGAATTTCATTAGTTCGGACTTCCATTGCCTGATATTATATAAAATGATTTGAAAACCCTGAAAGAACTAA